ATCAGGCGAGGACCACAATGGTGTATTGTACGCAAGGTCAAGGAAATGGTTTAGGGGAAGTTCCTGACTCCATGTTAGGTTTCAAACGATCAACTTCGGTGGCCGGCACAGTACTTACCACTCCCTTAAGGTCTCCAATATTCACAATCCAGATCTGCCTTGCCTGGCGCTCATATGCAAGATGCATCTGTTCCCAGGTTTTCTGGAGGGAAATCGTATTGATCCACTTGTAGTCACGGGGATCGCCGACGTAGTCAAAATGGTAGTACACTCCTGCACCACCAGACCTAGCCGTCTCATTGCCAACCGGCAGCCGCTGGATATTGCCCCAGTTGTCATCCGCCCAGAGTAGAGTAACGTCATCCGGAGCACGCAGTCCTTCCTCATAGAACTGGCCAACCTCCTTGTACAAACACCACATCTGCGGGACGGACGAGATGTTTGTCATGTTGAGGACGTCTGACAGAATCTGCTGCTGCGTATTCACGATATCCCCCAGCGATTGCTTCGTATTGGTTGGATTGGCAGTATCGTGTTTTCCTCTCATTCCAAGGGTCCAGAGCACTTCCCAGTCCTTGCTTCTGATGACTCCCTCCTTGAAGAATTCAGTGATGTTCTTTTTGTTTGAGGTCCAATCCCACTCTCCCTCCAGAAACAGCGACTGTTCCTTTGTCGCTCGCATCATGGGTTCTGTGTGGCTCGTGCCCATGACGATACCATACTCATCTGCTGTGGGACCATTGCGTGGGTCGTCGGGATAGAATGCATTGTCCCACATTGCCGGCCACATATAGTTCGCCCGCAGTCTGAGAAGAAGCTCAAACACACGGGAGTAGAAGTCGGCATTGAAACCGGGGCCGTATTTGGCAGGAGGGTAGTTTTCATTGACCCAGTTCGTCAGAGCCGGTTGTTCATCATTGATAAAGATGCCTCGATATTTGACAGACGGAGGTCCCTGGATCTTCTTCTTTTTCAACGCATATACCTCTTCGTGTTGGACAGGAGCGACGTCGGCGAACCAATACCAGGGAGAAACTCCGATCTGCTCGGAAATATCGTAAAGGCCGTAGATGACTCCTCGTTTGTCACTGCCAGAGATGACCAGCGCGTCCGAGATACCCTCAAGAGGATTGCTAACAACCTCGGTTTGAAATGCCTCCCATTTTCCCTTTGTCTGATCAACATCAATCTTGCCCCGTTTGGCAAGAGAATCGATGAGTCGGGACTTGCCAATTGTTCCAGCAATGATCACTGCTCTCTTACCGCGAACGGAAGATTGATCATGAAGGGTTGTGCCATTGATTAGGCCTGTCGTGAAATTTGTACCGGTCACTCGTCCGAAGTCGACAGCGAGGTCACCAGCCGCACGGATGACACCAGCCCAGTCGTCGCCGTCAAGCAGAATCACACCCGGAGCAGTATTCTTCCCCGCTAACTTGTAGGCTCCCTTGGTTTTGTCAAAAGCAACGATGGGCTCCTGTCCAAGAGCGTGTGCAGCTCCCACCACGCAGCTGACAGTCAGAAGTACTGACAGCAGCATTGCTATGCAAGAGTGAGAGGTCCGGTTACAGTGGTTCAGGTATTCCTATTACGAGACAATCCTGAGCTGGCATCTCGAGGGTTAAATACCCACCATCCGAGCGTTCAGCGGGATTGGGCCCGGCGCGGATGCCAGGATATTAACCAGGGAAGTCGGCAGGAAGAACATTTCATATTGTCAACTGCCTATTAGGCAAGCTGCCAAGCTGGAGCCATTGCAGATGCGGAGATATTCCCCTCTGCAGGCATGCTCCACGTCCTGGTGTCACACTCCACATAACCCTGGGGAAGATATTATTAGGCTAAATAGGCAAGTATAGCACAATCCGGCGGATCAAGGACAAGGATAAAAACACGAGGGACCGGTTCAGGAAAGGACTATGTTAGACAATGTCACAATGGTGACCATTAAAGCCGGGGGTAAAATTATTCCGCCCAGATTTCAACAAGCCTAAACTCGAGGTTCGAAGTGTAAATGTCTTTTGAAATTACCCAAATTGAGCAGACGTCAGATTCCATCAAAGGAGGTCGACGCCGCTAAAGGAACCCCACAATCAGCCATTCTGCACACGCGGAGACGGGCATGGAGTATGGTGATGGGTGAATAGATACTTATGAGAGAGTCATGGAAAGCTCAGAGGTCGACCATCATCCAGACCAGGGGTGAATAAGCATGCAAAAAGGTACAGGCGACGGAAACAGACCACGAACATAATACATTCTTCCGACTGCTGGACGAGATTTCTCCGCACACGACATCATTATCCTTATCGAACACTATCGGACTGATAGCTCAGGCAGCTAGGTCACGTGACTTTTTTGATGCGGATAAGGCCCGAGGCAATGCATAAAATTACATAATTACTAAGCTTATCAACGGTTTATCTATCATTATTATGCATTCCACGTGGATCAAAGGAATCATGAAGGCGATAATTGTCGAATGATGCTCCCGACCACTTCGACTTCTCCGTCTTCATTCCTCGATTCAATTTACGTCTTTCTAGAGTATAACTCTTCGATCCACTCCTTCGAGCTAATTTGACATTCGCGTACACTGGATAGGTCGCTGGGCGACTAAGCTCTCTTTCAATCGCCGATCATTGTTATCTCATATTCGAACCTCTGCTTATCTAGACAGCTCTTTGAATCGACCATGGCCAACCGCCAGATCACCAGACGCATTCTGATCACCTCAGCAATAGCAGTGTTTGTTTTATTCGTCCTCTTCATTCGACCCCAAGGGCCGCCGAGTCCCGCCCTCCGCGCTCCCGGTCACATCGATAAATCTCCACCGGCCGTGACAGTCAAAGATGATCTGCTGAAGGGGGAGGTGATCATGCCCCGGCTGGGGAATGAGACTGCAAAGTACGTGGACCTCTTATTTTGGGACTAGAACACGTACTGAATCAGACTGGGGAACATCAGAGCGGAGCTGGGTCGTGCGACCTGGAAATATTTCCATACCATGCTGGCTCGGTATCCAGAGGAACCGACGGAAGAGCAACAGGAAACATTACGCTCATTTATCCTCCTCTTTGCGCGACTTTATCCTTGGTGTGTTTATCGTTGTGGACCTAATGAAACACCTTTCAGAAGCTGACTCGTGGACTAGCGGTGAATGCGCCTCTCACTTTCAAGGTCACCTGAAGAAATACCCGCCACAAGTGTCTTCAAGGAACGCGGCTGCGGGCTGGGGCTGCTTTATTCATAACGAGGTCAATGCGATGCTAGGGAAACCCGAATTTGATTGCAACAACATCGGCGATTTTTACGATTGCGGTTGCGCAGAGGACGAGAAGGCAGCAGGGCATAAAGACAAGCCTCAGGCTGAGAGTCAGGGTCTGCCTCAGAAAGAGGACCACGAAGGCGACACTACTACGCCTGTCGAGATACACAGGGAGCCGTCAGTAGTCCCTCATTATTTCACACATCAGCTGCTGACAGACCATCACAGAACTACTCGGGGCTGATTGCCATTGTCTCCTACAAATGCCCGGCAAGCCATACAATTTCCTTTATTAGAACATTTATCACGCAGGTCGTCCCACATTTACCTTTTTGCTGGAGCTGGCCTCTTTGTACAGTAATAGAGTCTGCGATTGTCGGAATTTCTTTGTAAAATTGAGCTCAGAATATACCCTTGCATGAAAAGGATTGTTCGCTATCTCTTGGTACTCCGATACTGCAAGGCACTGGATGCAAACACAAGCTTCAGCATGTTCATATCCCATGGAGGGGCATATGACAGTCTGCACATGGGTACACAGGAATTCCTCTCTGGACGCCTGACTTTTATTGGCAACCTGAAAGCATCCGTGACTCACACAAGTGACCGTGGCGGCCACCAGAGGCAGTTTCTTCATATTGCCATCAGTACTTCCTGCAGAATGGAAGTGCGAGATATGTCGCTCGAACCTGAGGAACAAGCAAATCTGAGATTATTCTCGCTTACCCAAGCAATCAGTGTGGATGAATCGGACAGATCACCTATGATGCCTTCTCGATTCCTAAGTATATAGACCTTCCGATAGTCCGCGCCCAAGATATCGACAAAAGGAACCCAACATTGTGATAAATTTAGTTTCTACCTTCTGCTACGTTTCATTCTCCCCTATGATTCTGAATGTTCATATGAACTTTTCCAGTGGTTTGTGCACTCACGGCCCCGCCTCCAATCAGCTGAGGGACAGTCCCCCTCCTTGGCCATGCCGCAGCGAGTCTTCTGACAACCTGGGTCGATCATTGTAGGGATGTGGATGCCGCCCTCATCGTTGATACAGTTGATCCCATATCTCTGTCATTACGATCATGGACTCCGATGTTCCTTGGCTGGCTGTAACGCGTCTCAGGGTTCGCCCATAAGCGGATGTAGATTGAGCGGCAAAGTTGATACACACGCGTACTACGAATGTGAAACAGCCCCAAAGAATACGATGTTTCACTGCCACAAAGATTATACTTAAGACTGGCGTGCCAACTTCTGATAGAAATAGGTTGATGTGGAAGCTGCTGGACTCGGAAGTATTCTATCTTTATGATCGAGTCTGTTGCATGGATAGTGGATACCTGGTTCGTAAGGCAGGATCCAGACATTTCTCCTAGTACCAGAAGGGAATAGCGCCAAAAGGAATTATTGATGAGCTTCTTTTTTCTTTTTTTCCCTGTCCATTTCTTTCGCAAAAGACGCGCTCAGCAGAAGACGGAGTTTCAGGAATCTCTCAAACACTTACGAGCGGTCGCAGGAAGCAGCGCTTATAGTGGGAAGAAGATCTTTAGTGTGCCGTATCTCTGTGAACCGGCGCGAAACTCATTCTATTCTCCTACCTGCTCTCGTTTCTCCATCAACGCTCTTTGTTGACATTACCTCCGCCGAAGGGGCTCATCGCTTACTCCATAATTTCTGCTCGTCTCTAGTGCAAAGAAACAGATAAGATTGCGCATTTGAGACTGTATCTGATAGTTCTCTTTGCAACCTAAAAGCTAGTCACTTTGTTGTCTCTCCGTTCGGATCCAATAGTTCGCGCAGACACTTGCTGAGCGGGTGATAGCGGGGTCAAAATGGTTTCCTTTTCCTGTGAGGTGAGTCTTATCCGTCGCTGCGCTCATTCTTGGTAGACGAGAGATATCGCCGAATCAAGAAGCAATTGGATCTAACCCTTATTTTCTCCTAGGCTTGTGGTGATGTCCTCACCAAGAAAAAGCTTGACCCTCATCGCAACCAATGCCGAGGCGCATCCTTCACTTGCATCGATTGTATGGTACACTTCCAGGGAACTAGCTACAGATCGCATACGGTATGTCTATCGCTTTTTTGGCTGTCGGCTCTAGATTTCGCCAGCGCATATCTCTTGTGCGGACTCGTTCCTGCATTGTCGCGTTGTTTTAATAGCAAATGGGCAGCGGTCGCTGGGAGAAATTCTTGACAACCCTCGCTGTCGCTTTATAGCTCCAGCTGACTGTCTGCTTTATCTAGTCATGCATGTCCGAGGCCCAAAAGTACCAGGGCGCATTGTACAAGGAGAAGCCGACGAAAAACCAACGGAGAAATCAAAATCAATATCAAAACCAGGACCAGAACCAGAAAAACAACGTCAATGGTAAACATCGTGCTCCCTACGTCGAAGATGGTCCCGATAGCGATAATTCAAAAGGCAACGCGCCCCCGCCTGCTCCTAGTCCACCACCTACGAGCACTGAGAAGCCCTCTGCCACTACCGCTCAAGACTCGAAGTCGGTTAATGTTTTCGACTATCTCGTGACGGCAGATACCCCCAATGCATCCAAAGTCTCGCTTGGCGGGCCCAAGGAGCAAATGAAAATGGTTGACCATGCTCCGTCTGTCTTTGAGCCGGGCAAGGCATCAGCCCACGTCGAGGCGGACAACGATGACGAAAAGAAGGACTACGATGTGGCATATGAGGAGAATGGTTTCTCATATGGGGCTGGTCCGATTGAGCCATCGGTGTACCCAGGCAAAGCTCCCAACGTTTCCATGGAGTTCATGACCCGGCGCCGAAAAAGAAGAAGGATCGTGCGCGTGGAGAGAACGACAAAGCCAGTGCTACGACCAGCGACAAGAAACGCAAGCGCCGTACCGATGATCATGACATGGAAATTGACTCTCCGATGGCCGAGGCCCCATCGAGTGTTGTGAACAACCCGGGTACGCCGATGCTGAAACACTCAGGCCTCACTGGTGGCTTGAATCGTATGATGCGGTCTCCATCCACAGAAGATGGGAATGAGTCCAAGGAAGACTCCCGACGACGGTATCAGGACCCCTCCTCGCCAATCAAGCGGACCCGCCGCGATCATAGGGATGGTGACAACGATTCGGGTCTGGGTATTTCTATGAAACAAAAGGCAGGACGTCTTGTCTCATCCATGTTTGGAGGCTCTGCTGTGTCGGGAAGCAGCAACAACAGCCAAGAGCCGGAGGCTCGCCGGTCGAAAAAATCTCACCGCATGGCCAGTCCATCCCAAGATCAGATGCCATCTGATTCCCGGAAGACAAAACGAAAGGTCAGCGCTCAGGCAGGAGGGGACCGGCCCTCCCAGCGGCTAAAGCAGATCGAACATAACGGTTCCCAACAAGGCGACGACGGCCGCGAGGTGGTTGTTTATCGGCAGGAGAATATTCCCAACGAGTTACAACGACAAATGGCTGCCCATTTCCTTTCCCTAGTGACGAAGGGGCCAGAGAGCTCACGAGGCTTCTCCGTAAATAAGGTATTGAAGCGGTTTCATCGCGAGATTACCGATGAATTTGATGACGATCGTGGCCGCGGTCAAGGGCGGAGCCGTGCAGATCGCGAGCGGAGAATTGAGGATGAGAAGGACTTGTGGCGCACATTGAGGGTGAAGCAGAACGAGCGAGGAGAGGTGGTTCTCTTCTTCTGAGAATTGATTGTTGGTTTGCTTCCTAAGGATTACATGTTGCTGCTTCGCATGGTGTGGGCCTTCTTCGACTTTCCGTCGATTTTTCACGTGAACTATTATGCATAGCGCTTGGCTTATGTTGTTAGGGCTAATTCAATCTACTTCATGCATTCAGATTTCATGCCGGACTCTGTATGTAATGCATCTTGTGAAGGGGTTGATGACTCTTTTATGACTCATTTCGTGATGGCCATGACTCGGAAGTATGCTGCATTCACCTGTAATAATAAATTCTCCAATGACAATTGATGAACGGCCTGATAGTTCATGAAACTAGACTGGGTCTTTAATTGGAGCTTAGGACTGGCTGACTCATTTATTCCATCAAATCAGATCCCTGTTTGATACGAATTCTTCCACTTCGGTTGTTGGAAACAGTTGGGAGTAATCCGCGGTGGAACCAAAGCAGCAGCAGCTTTGCCGCCACCCAGCAGTATCCGTATAAGCAAAAAAAGATTCCGGCGATTGTTCGGCAACACTTCTAAATTCCATCCCCCTTCCTTTCTCTCGTTGTGCTTTAAAAATCCATCATTACTTTCTTTGCCTCCGGGCTGACAGGATTCTTATTTACCTTTCAACGCCGTCGTATTACTTTCAGCGCGGCGTGCACTGTTGCCTCCGCGTTTCTTTTCTGTGCACTGCACCTTATCAGGTGGCGTTTAAGCTTCGCGACGGATCTTTGAGCGAAGTGATCTTGCTCTTTTTCCATTTTTCCAATCGCCTTATACACGACTAGTGCATGGGAATACCTCAAGCAGCTTCGTCTGTACCCTCCAGGGCCGTCGACAACATGTCGGGTTCGCCTGTGGCCCCCGCTGACAATAGCACCCCGCGTCCGAAGACTGCCAGACGACGAGGCAGAGGCGGCCGTGGCGGTCGTGGCTCTGTTCGATCTATCCCGACAGAGCCCCACACACAACCTGAAGCTCAGGAGCCGTCTCAAGCACCAGCAAGCGAAGCTTCGTCGTTGAGTATACAGCCGAACGAATCGTCACGGGCCGCGAGAGGATCGAGAGGAGGCAAACGGGGTGGACGAGGGGGAGGCGCATCTCAGGACAGCAGTCGACGACGTGGACGAGGACGAGGTGAAGAATCAAAGACTGTGAGCGGTGGGCTGGGAGGACGGTCATTTGAGGGACGATTGTCGAAACCCGAGCGGGCGTCTGACGAGGATCAGCCCGATGATACGGGGGACTTGAGCTTGAAAGCTGATGCGCCCGAATTCGTCCCCGGAGCGCCTACGGGTGGAGTCGTACCTAACGGACTTACGTCCTCAGCAGATTCTACGACCAGAAAGGGCAAGTCGAAGAACGTTCAGCCTCGGCCGCCGAAAATAACGACGAAATCTACAGCACCTGATATCGCCACCCGGATACACGAAGACATCGCGCACAATCTCTATGAATGTCCGATTTGTACAAGCGAGCTGGGCCGGAGGTCGCGGGTCTGGTCGTGCGGGTTGTGTTGGACTGTTTTCCATCTGAGTTGCGTCAAGAAATGGTCAAAGAATGAAGGATCGGCCGCCCAGGATGCTGCGCGTCGGCAGGCAGAGGGAGAGCCCAGTGCACCGCGTGCCTGGCGTTGCCCTGGCTGTAATCTCCCACACGAGATCTTCCCGTCTACCTATTCCTGTTGGTGTGAGAAGGAAGTCGATCCCCGTCCGCTACCTGGCCTGCCCCCACACTCGTGCGGTCAAACCTGCTCACGGCCACGCAAAGGCTGTCCGCATCCGTGCGATGCGACTTGCCATGCCGGTCCTTGCTCACCTTGTACCGCGATGGGCCCGACTCAGGATTGTTTCTGTGGGAGGAATTCGTCGACTAAGCGCTGCCAGGATACAGATTACGAGAATGGTTGGAGCTGTGGTGAAATATGTGGCGATTTGCTGCCCTGCGGCGAACACACTTGTACTCGACCGTGCCATGAGGGCCTCTGTGGGGCATGTGAAGTCAAAATAGAAGGTCGTTGCTATTGTGGAAAGGTGCAAACCGAGATGCTTTGCAGCTCCAAGGATGAGGAGTTTGAAAGCCAACTGGCGCGAGGGGACGATGGCACGATCGTTGAGTGGATTGGTTGTTTCAGCTGCAGAGATCAGTGCAGTCGTCCGTTCGATTGCGGAGTGCACTTCTGTGAAAAAGGTTGCCATCCTCAGGATGCACATCCCGCTCATTGCCCACGGTCGCCGGATGTCGTTTCTCACTGTCCTTGCGGGAAGACGTCGTTGACAGAGATGCCCGACTTCTCCCCCGTACATCGTGTGATGATCCTATACCGAACTGCTCGAAGCCCTGTGGCAAGATGCTGGATTGTGGACACTCATGCGACCAGATCTGCCACACCGGCCCGTGTGGCTCGTGTCGACGCAAGGTGCCAGTTAATTGCCGCTGCGGTCGCACCACGGTTGTAACTGTGTGCCATCAAGGCACGATTGAACCTCCTTGGTGTTTCCGTGTTTGCAAAGCAGGCTTGCACTGTGGCCGACACGCTTGCGCTGAAAGGTGCTGCCCTGGGGAGCAAAAAGCCATCGAACGTCAGGCCATGCGGCGGAAGCTCAAGTCCCACCTCCGACCTAGCGACGAGGATGTTGAAGCCGAACATATTTGCACCCGAGTTTGTGGTCGTCCGCTGAAATGCGGAAGACACACATGCCCGGAAATCTGCCACAAGGGCCCTTGCAACACTTGCCGAGAGGCAATTTTCGAGGACATCCCGTGTAATTGTGGTAGAACTGTTCTGTCTCCTCCATTACCTTGTGGGACTAAACCTCCTGCTTGCTCGTTTCCTTGTGAACGGCCTAAGCCCTGCGGCCATCCTCAGACACCTCATAATTGTCATACCGATGAAGAGAGCTGTCCCAAGTGCCCTTTCCTCACGGAGAAGGCCTGTCTTTGTGGCAAACGTGTCTTGAAGAACCAGCCTTGCTGGCTGGCGGAGACGCGTTGTGGGCAGGTGTGCGGTGAACCGCTTAAATGTGGCTCTCATTCCTGCCAGAAGACCTGCCACCGGGCTGGTGACTGCGAGGATGCCTCCAGACCTTGCCAACAGCCATGTGGAAAGACCAAGCCCCTGTGCGGTCACCCATGCACCGAGCCCTGTCATGCCCGTATCAGTGTTCTGAGAAGACGCCCTGCGCGTCCATGGTCACAGTAACATGTGGCTGTGGACGGCTTCGTCAATCGCGGCGCTGCAACGCAGCAGCGGCATCGAAGGGACCGGTGCCGCAGCCAACAAGAGGACCTTCCCTGACTCCGTTGACATGCGACGACGAATGCGCGCGTCTAGAGCGCAATCGTGCCCTGGCATCCGCGCTTGGCGTCGAGATCAACCCGACAACCACGGTTGCATCGAACATTACTCCCAACACCCTTCCTTATTCAACAGAAACCCTGGACTTTTATGTCCAGCTTTCTTCCACCTCTCCGCTCTCCACTCTACAGACGTACGAATCAACCCTCCATTCCTTAGCAACCAGCACCACCCAGCGATCCGTACGCTTCCAGCCCGCCAAATCCCCACTCCGTGCATTCATCCACTCCCTAGCCGCGGACTGGGGCTTCGCCAGCGAGAGCTTCGACCCAGAACCCCACCGTCACGTCTTCGTCCTGAAGCCCACAACGTGGACGCCACCACTCCTCGGGTTCGGCCCCGAGAACTCCATCGGCATCGGCGGCAAGAGTGTCGGTGAATGCGTTAAGCTCCGCGAACGCCAACGCCTTAAGGAGCGCGAAGCGCAACGCCTCGCCGCAGCAGAAGCCAAGGCGCTCAAGGAAGCTGCCAAAGCGCAGCAGTCCACGGATACAACCAGCGACGGCGGCTGGGCCCAGGTCGCTGCCTCCCGTCGCAGCAACGGCCTAAGCTCGACGAGAAGCACAACGCCCGTTGCGAATCCTAGCCCATGGTCCGGCTCGAAGTTCGCGGCCCTTGCTGGCGGCGATAGCGGGGCTGGGGTCTTCCTAAGAAGGAGAAGCTTGTTCTTCGGTCCGGCGTAGGAGCCGCGAAGAAGAATCTCTCTACTCCGCCCGCGACTGAGGTCGCGGATAACTGGGAAGAAGAGGAGGAAAAGGTGGAGCAGGAGGAGGAGGAGCGCGAGCGTGAGCGTGAACGCGAGCAACAGTCGGAAGGGGAAGAACAGCCCAAATTGGAGGAGAATAACGAAATGACTGATGCGAGGAATTCGGTCGAGATGTCTGCCGAAGCGGTTGTCTCGACGGATTGATCCACTTATTAACTGATTGATTGGCTTTAAAGCTGGATGCATTGCTATCTGCTACTCCGGCCATATGCCACATTTGCATGGATGCGTTAGGTGTTTTGTTGACTGTCATCGTCATCAGCAAGCGTGGGTTTGTATGCATATGACATGGATTCTAGATAAAAGTTACAGACCGAATAGAAAGGTTCTGGTAATAAGATTAGAGAGCGCGTGCTGATATAGATCTGTTCGAGAGCGTAGTTTCCTTCACTTCAACTATGCGATATTTCTACCTTGGGTGAAAGGGACGCTCCCTCAATCCCATCTACTTCTCTGCAACTGTAAAGGCTGCGAGCCCGTGGGGAAACAACTCGTCAAGCACCGTTCTCCCCAGATTAATTCCATAGATGCATACTCTCCCCCAGACTCGGTGGCAGATCACCCACACCAGTCCCCCAATCACTCTCCTTCTCACCCAGCGTCAACTCGAGCGTCCACCCCTCCGTGAAAAACTCATGACCGATCCAATTCTTGGTATACGGCTCCCCGTTTAGCCTCGCACTCTGGATATATATCCTCCGGTAGGAACTATCGAAATTGACATTCCGTATCGTCGCGGTCTTGTTCGTCACGGGGTGAGTGATACTCACGGCTTCGAAGAACGGGGGATGATGAGATACACGTTCTGACCGGGGTTGGGGAAGAGGCCCATCATCGTGAAGACGGTGAAGGCGCCCATGGCCCCCGAGTCGTCGTTGCCCGGGATGCCGGATGTGGAGGCGTTGAAGGCGGAGGGGATGTAGGTGTGAGCGCGCGCGGCGGAGAGGGCCGGCCGGCCGGCGTAGTGGTATTGGAAGACGGTTAGGAAGACGGGCTCGTTGCCGATGTCTGCTAGGCCGGAGGTGTGGAAGAAGTCGAGGCGGGAGATGAAGGTGTCTGGGCCGCCGAGGAGGTGGATTAGGGTGGCCATGTCATGGGGGACGTAGCTGGGGCTTTTTGTTAGTGGGTTGAATGGTTATTGAGCTTGGGATGGGCAAACGTACAATTGGTATTCCCAGACGCTGGACTCAAAGGTCTCGGAGGGATTGGAGGTTAGTGAGCACCATGAGGCCAGGGCACTGCAGGCGATGGGATCTTGGTAGCCCCAAGTTCCGTTCAGGTACTTCGGTTGGAAGAAGCCGACGAAGCCGGTGTCGGTGCCGTTGATCAGGGATTGTTGATCTGGCTTGTAGAGGTTCTGCCAGTTGCTCGCTCGAGAGAGATACTTGGTATAGTCACGCTTGCGCAGACCTCGTCCAACCATGGCCAGGCTGAAGTCGTTGTAGGAATACTCCAGAGTACGTGAGATGCTGCGGGAATTGGTCCCAAAGCCGAGGTAGTCAAAATCCAGGTAAGGAATGTAGTTCAGACGCTTCCAACTCTGCAGGCCACCTCGACCTTCGTACGACCATTCCAAGGGCTCGTTCTCCGCGTCGTTGACCATGGCCTCATACGCGAGGTCCCAATTGATCCCGGTAAGGTTCTTGACAAAAGCATCTGCCAGGACGACATCCGCGTTGGATCCGCCTTGCGTCCAGCCCTTGCAAAGACTCATACGACAATCCGGCAACCAACCTTCATGCCTGTAGGTATCGAGGAGACTTCGTACCATCCGCGACTGTGCGACAGGGTCAACAACGGTGAGAAATGGGTGCTGGGCTCTAAAGGAGTCCCAGATACTGCCAACCATTAGCCATCGCACGAAAGGCAATATCATCCAGCAATACGTACCAGTAGAAGGAATCGTAGTACGGTTCATCACTGCGCCAGAGCGGGTTCTCGCCCGTCAAGTCCTGAGGAGACAGCATGGTCCGATACACGCCACTCCAGAAGCTCTCGAGAAAGTCCTCACTCACGCCTCCCGCCTGCACAGAGACAGGGCTGAGCTTCTCCCGCCATGCACTCTCAGCCCGCTGCCTCAGCGTATCGAAGTCGTGTTCAGGATGAGGAATCTCCTTCTCTGCATTCTCACACGCCTTCTCCGAGCTGATAAAGCTCACCCCGCCCGGACAGTAACCGTCCCATCCTCGGGCCGTTTGAATCTCATAAACCCACCGGCCTGCAGATAGAACAGATTGAATCCCCGCGTGACAAACAGCTCCTGAGGCTCGGTCCCCGCACGGTCGTTAACCCAAATCCCACTGTCCTTCACAGCCGCACCCCCGAAATCCGCACAAAAGTACGAGACATACGACCCGGCCCCGAAACTAGGCAAGAACGTCCCATTGGCCGTGATCCGACCATTCTCAGCATCGACCTTGATAGACGCATTCTGCCGGCTATCCCATGCGTCCGTCAAATCAACCAGAATCAGCGGACTGAGCTCCGACCCGTCCTGCGCTGTGGACGATGGAAAGGTAAACCGGTACAGAGCCGCATGCTCCGACACCGTCATCTCAGCTTGAATCCCATTCTCCAGCGCAAGGGCAAAGTGCCCGGGCCGCGCAACAACCGACTCATTGACATAGTGCACTCCGCGCGCAGCTTTCGGAAAGCGGCAGTTATCCAGCACATCGTCTGGGCAATACTGCGGGAAGAGGGGGAAATTGCCTAGCGAGGGATTACCCCCTGTGCCAGAGTCGTGCATGCTTGAGAACCCGATGACATGGCTGCCGTCTGTTGCGAAGCCGCCGGTGTTCTGGCCGTCGACGTCGGCGACGGCTTTGGCCATGCCGTAGGGGAGACTTGCGCCTGCAAAGACATTGCCGCCGTTGGTGGAGCCGATCAGGGGATTGACATATTTGAGGATGTCATTTTCAGTTGATGAAGGTTGGCCTGCAGCGAGACTTGTCCATTGGACGGGCAGTATAGCAGCGAAGTTCCTTAATGCTACCCTTTTCATGGTGGGGAGTGGACTCTGTGTTGGTTGTCATCTGTTGGGGGCAGGATCCTGGTATGAAGGCGAGGGTTGGACATGACGGCAACTTGTAACATATGGACGAGGTATAACTAATTTGCTAATTGTCAATGTCAATGTAACGTTCCATGCAGAGAAGGAGAGATCGACACTGCCACTGCTTGACAGGAATGGTCCCGACAAAAGAGGTTGCTGGGTAGGAGGAGGAGGAGAATGCCCGTGCGGGGTAAACAAGATAACAATGACCGCATCTACTGCCACAGACACAAGAAGATAGGATGGAAAAGCAGAAGGGAACACTCGGCGACACCGGCTAATGGCTCCAGATAGCCAGACAACAACTGTCCTTCTGTCATCGGACTGGGAGTTTCCCCTCGCGACGGACTCTGCTCTTGAACGCGTGCCTATGGAGAACCTACCAGGCCAAACACTGTCGTTTCCACCATTGTCGGGCTTACTTGATGCCCTCATTGAGAGCTGGCTAGACGGTCCTAGTGACGAGGATCCGCTACTGCTGCACTTGGCTGTTCAGTTTAACTATCTCTACGAATATGCTCCAGCATTGAAAGAGCGATCATTTGTTCACGGGCTAATGCAAGTTCATGCACTGCTCCCTACGGGAAGAATTCATACCCCAGTGGCGGTGTTCTGCTAACGGAATATCACAGTTTTACCCCTGAAAACCTGGTGTGCGCGCTGACTGCAGTGCCCTTAAGTCAGTGTATTATTGCGTTTGCTGTAAGGGGTCATGTCTCTGCTTGATATGCAAGGATCTACGACGCAAGAATAATCTCCAAGACAGTGGTCTTCTATTAGTATCTGTAACCTCGAAACTCCCAACTCAACTTTTATACAAAGGTATCTCTAATATAAACTACAGAATTATCTTCCCCTAGATCATCACACCCTTGTTCTGGTGCTTGTTGACATTGTAGTTCTTCCAGACCGAAATGGCAGGAATCCCCAGAATCAAAATGCAAGTAGCGGCAACCGCACCATACATCTGGCTGCGGCCCCAGGCATAGTTGATCGCATCACGAGCAGCCGAGCCCATCGGATATGTTTGCTGCACTGTGTATCCACCCATGTAGATCGATGTGGTATCGGACTTGAGGTCCGCAGGGAGACGAGACTCGAGAGCGCCAGGGAAGACGTTTGTATAGATGGCAGCCGCCACGGCGTATCCAATGGCGCCTCCCAAGCTGGAGAAGAGACCGATGAACGACAGCATCATGGGGACGCCCTCGCGGTTCGCAGACGCCATAACAGCCATCTGCTCGCCGATGACCAGAGTGCCACCACCAAAGGCAATGAAGATCTGGCACATGACCACGTAGCCGATGTCGTCCGACTGGCCCCGAAAATGAATCATCAAGCCCGCACCCAGGATCATAAGCGGCAAGCCGAAGAATAGACAGGTGTGCTTGAAGTGCTTGGTCCAGCGCACCCAGAGACCGAAGACGACGCCCCAGAAGCAGGAACCCACGTTGTAGATCTGGGTCATGTAGCCAGTCATTGCGGCGTTGAGGTTGTAGACTACCGTGCAGAAGTTGTAGAAGTAGAGATCCCAGCAGTAGAAGCTGAAGTAGAGTGTGGCGGCCATGACGCAGGCACCCAGGACTGTGCGCTGCTTCAGCAGCTCGTAGTTGATGAAATGGACCTGTGCAAACCACTTCTCCCAAGCGGCGAAGACAAAGAGGAGGCAGAACCCGATGACGACCATTGCGATAAAGGCCGCGCTTTCGTATTCTGCGCGACCGTTACTGGCCAAGCTGAAGGGCAGCAGCAGCAGCACCCAAGCGGCCATCAACAGGAAGGCACCGATAACTGACAACAATGTTAGCTGGGACCTCATCAGGGGTGAGGGACGGGTGAGGACAGGGATTTGGCTCGACATACTATCAAACTCGTGAATATAGTGCACGGCAGACTGTGTCCATGTACGACCGCTAGGCTGGCGGACATATAACCCCATCTTCTCAGCCTTGAGTTGGTACCGTTTGAAGACGACTGCGAGAGGCGCAAGCGCAACAGGCATGATGATAGCAAAGGCTCCATAGGCCCATCGCCAAGTCGTCATGCGCAGGAAGGACGCAGCAGCTAGAGGGGCGGTGAACGCAGTGCAGATGAAGGGGGTGCTGGCGAAAGCGAACGTGAAAGCTCTGTTCCTCAAGCCGGACGTGTCTGCCACGAAGACGTCGAGAATCAGGTAGATTGCATCGTACCCGATCCAGAAGAGAACATAACCCGCGGCATAGGAATCGGGCCCGTTGCATGATGCCAGAATAATGAGGCCAATGGTGTAGATTCCGACGAAGAGGAGGAAACCCTCGGCACGACCCCAGAGGTTGAGTATCTTTGCAATGGGAAGCTTGAGCACGCCGCCGATAATACTGGACAGGATGTTTGCAGTACTGATTTGAGGAGCCGACTGGAATCCGCTGTAGGCGTTGTTGATGACGTTGCTACTGATGCCTGACTGTAGGGCGAGGAGGAAGAAACAGACCCAAATCCTGAAGTGGAACGGTCAATTAGATGAGGTTGGAGAAGATTAACCCATTAAAGCGACTTACCAGGCGTAAGTTGCCCAGACTGCCTTCTTGCTCCAGACCAGCGCAGCCGCTTCGACTTTCTGGACACCCAAGTGAGCATCCGCGGTGACCTGATCCGGATGTTGCTCGATTTCCTTCTCATTACGGGCCTCCAGACTCAACCTTGATGAATCTGTGTCGGGTTGATCGTTTATTTCAGGACCTTTCGGTGTCCCCTCTGGAGCATTGGCCTCAGTACCAGGAGGAACCTGAGGAGTGGCTTTGTTGCGAGCCCCGAAACTACCAAAGAGCCCCATGCTGACGTATATTGTCCTCCTCCTAGCCTTTCTTCTAGGGTGGGTCAATTATATGACACTGTTTTGTCCTCGTAAGCCAAGCGAATGGCTTGTCCAGCTTAGCACGAGCAAAGGCTAAAGTCAGGTCAAAAGAGACTGAAAGACAAGACCCTGGAAGAAGGGGGAAGGCTGAGTATTCATGTAGTATGGGGTCATGGAATGGGCTCATTTATCTACTAGACGGGTCCAGAGGACGACCCAGACCCCGTGGACATGAGTTCCTCCACTCAGCCGATAAGGGAACCAAACAGAACGTGCAAGACAAATTTTCTGCTCGTCCGTTTCTTTTTTTTGCGTGGCACACACCTGCTTCTTGCTAGTCTAATCGAGCATGGAGCCCACACTAGAAAACTAGCTTGAACTTCCCTGAGTGGTCTGACCGTCTGAGAAGCGTGGGACTGGCAGCCGCTGGCCTGATCAGATAGCATTTTTCTGCGGAAGACGGATCAGATAACTTGAGGAGATTAAGACTATTGGCGTGGTTCTTGCCTGGCGTACCACGGCTTGGATGAAGGCAGAATAATGATTGGAAGAGGAAGAGAGTGGGATATGGAGTCGAGCAGCGATTGGCGTTTGGGAGGGACAATTTCCGGTTGTGGTGTTGGTGGAGCACTGTCGGCAAGATAGGTCTTCGTCGTCATCAAGTTTTTATCTCAAGGTTGATCGATATTTGAATTACTTGCTGACCAGTCGAGCCTTCAGAGGAATCTGAAGGGTACTCGATAATCCCTGGAAAGCTATGGAAATCCAATACAAACGTACAGTAGATGGCCAGCGTTATTTTTAAAGTCGGGAAATAGGGAATGATAGATGGGTAAGGTATTGTCGGGACTGGCGGATGGACCAGAGCCCCTCCCCAAGCCCACAGGATAATCCCAATTAACGGTCATTGTGTCATGGAGGTCGTTGTGGCTGTCCTCAAGAATAATACTAAATAACAACGTTAATGACCATGGACTACGGAGTAATACTTCATGAGACGACAAATGGATTTTGCAGCTATTCCCTGATGTCCCCGAATTTGGGATCTGGATGAATCACAAACAGCACAACAAATTTCCAGTTTCTATACCAGTGGAGCAGCGAGCCCCAGCTGTGGCTACTAAAGAGCTGGGAGTCGAACGGTCACAAATGTCGGCTAGTCGTGGTAATCCAGAGGCACTGATCAATGATCACATGTACTCGCTTCTTTATCTGATCAATTTTATCTGATTTGTGCGTTTTAGGCTTTTTGAGTATCCACTATGGACAGCGACAGGAACGCCATGAAAGAGACAAGCAAACCAAGAAAGGAAGTAAAAAGATAGTATACGCCACAAAATATCTTTCTGCCTTGATCCTCAATACTTCCAGTAAACCGTCATCAATCATGGCTTAGCGTGCCGCAAAAAACTTCTTTTCCTTCGCAGAATTCGAGGAAACTTTGTCCGGCTTATCTAATCTAATCAGATGACGCTTTATGGGTCGTAACAGTTTTGCCCATATCCTATTTGACAGACAATGCGGTGCGAATTCTGAGATGAAGACTCAAATTCACATAACAAATGCTCGTTTTATGTCGAAGGTCACGATTATTGTCTCAGTCGTCAAAAGCAAAATGGATTCACTACTCGTCCAAGGGCGGAGACCGGCTACCGTCAGTGCATACTGCTTCCGAGACGAGGCTGAGTGGAGAAACAAGAAAAATCCCTATCTGAACAAGAACGTAGCGCTAGTTGGTAGTAGTCTAGATAGCATCTAAATGTCTAATATATGGCCCTTTTAGACCCAAAGAGCAGGAAAAAACCGAATTCGACCATATCATAGAGTGCTCTCCAGTCGTTGCTGAAAGTCCGCCAGTGGGCGACATAGGTAATGGCTCTCCTCGGCAGCAGAAAACTCCTTACCGGCTCATGAGATCGGATGTTCGCGACTATGCGACTGGCTTAAATGCCTTTGAGAGGGACACGCAGCTGGATTCTTGAGTCCAGTGCGAGTTAACCCATGGAGGAAGATGGACACTAGCCGAGAAAAAATCAATCAATCCCTAGTCTGAGTGATTGTGTAACAGTTGGGTCTATAGAGAATTGTCCATCCGTAATACTCGCCCATTGCTCTTTATTCAAGCTCACTTCTTGGCGGAAAATCTTTTCCATACCCTAGTACTCTGTAGTCCATAGGCAATGCGCCGTGTGTTTGCTTTGACTCCAGACTTGCTGCGGTATCCTGGTATCTAGGCAAACACCATCCACTATTTCTTATCCTCTTGAGCTTCTTGGATTAAAGGGAGATGAACATCATTCAACTTGGGCAGGGTTGAGATACAGTCAGCAAGAAGAATGAATGCTGTTAGAGAAAGGAATACCTAAGTCATAAAGTTGATTGGGCTCTCTGCAGGAGAAATATGTACTTAAAATAATCAATAAATCTCAAGAAGCGCCTCAACTGTTTGCAAATCTAGTGCACACCGTGAGCCATGTTGTGGACCTTAAACTGTTAAGATGCCAACAACGATTATTGTCATATGGATGTCACATAGATATCAATTTTCAACCTACTCCCAACTTCAATGTCTGTGCGCATTGTGAGTCTGATGACACCTGAGATAGTAGGATTTCCGCCTCAGGCATAAACTGACACCTGATCCTGAATCGGGTGGCTCCACTCGGCTCCAGCTGCCTCCGGATTGACAATTTTGTACCTTCTGTGCTGCACACTGTTTGCAAACAACATTTCGCAGCCATCATCCTATTATAATCGGGCTAGCCTCTGATCCACGCATTTCGGATTAAGCCATCGCGATTTGCTGGCCACGCCTGTTGCATCGTTCTCCCAATCAGCACATCCTTTTCTTGGCATACTAAACAACGCCTATATCCGAATTAGTAGTTCCTGAGATCGTCATTCGCTCTCAGATGCCACCGCGTCGCAGTCATACTAAATCCCGAAAGGGATGTACTAATTGCAAGAAGCGGCATGTCAAATGCGATGAAGCGCTACCCAGGTGCGACTGCTCCATTTCATCGGTTGTCTCTTCGCAGCAAGGGCTTTGACCATTCAGCGCCACGCTGTCAAGGCTGCATGTCAACCATTCCAGGAGCCAAATACTGACTCGATTATAGCTGTGGGTTGTGCGAGAAACGGCAGCTAGAATGCATCTATCCATCATCGGCCAGTGAAGTCGACAGCCAACCTGCATCTACCCCACGAGAGATCATTGACATAACGCCCAAAGAGTGGCCCTTGTCCACGAGAATGCTCGAGATGAGGTTGATGCATCATTATCTGACAAAAACCTACCATACCTTACATCAAGGCAAAATCGATGCGACTCACTTCCAGACGGTCATCCCGGAAATGGCCACATCCCACCCGTTTCTGTTGGACAGCTTACTTGCACTGACAGCTCTGCACCTAGCCTTCCTGAACCCGGACGACAAGCGCCCGTGGATGGAAGCTGCGCTCAAATATCAAAGCCAGGCATGCTCGGTTTTTAGTCGCGTTCTTGTGGATATCTCCCCGGAGAATTGTGGACCTGCGTTCCTCTGCGCGGTTTTCATCCTCCTATGTGCGACTGCATATCCATGCGTCGCCGGGGATACTCATCCGTTTGATCCACTAGCCCAGGTCCTGGAAACTCGCCGCCTCCTTGTCGGATGTGCTTTTCTTTACCATCATCTGCATCGACATCCAGGGCAATTGAAAGAGTGGCTACGGTTCCCGAACGATGTGAAACGGGAGGAGAATGTCACATCTCAAGGGTGATCTACCATTCATTTCTTTGTGCCTAGTATAATAGCTGATTCTGGCCTCAGGACGTGGAATGCGAAGCTTGTGCCGCTGCGAAGGTACGTATCTTCCTCCGCCTGCATCGTTGAATGGAACAGCTGACATCGTGCAAGTGCTCTTCTAGATTCTCTACGACAAGTAGCGGCCGTCATGAACGATGCCAGTGAACCGCACCGGGCAGCCTACCAGGACACCTGGGATTTTCTGCACGACACCATCAGTTTATGGCCATTGGGAGGTCCTCGTGGAGGCATCATATCCTGGCCCGTCCATATTGGCGAAGACTACATTGCTCTGTTGAAGCAGGGAGACTGGATCGCTCGTATCTTATTCCTACACTATGGAGTTGGCATGCACCTGCTGTCAGATAAATGGTATGTTAGCGATTGGGGACGTCGCTTGGTGGCAGCAGTTTTGCAGCCTCTACAAGACATTCCTCCAATCTGGACCGAAACTATCACTTGGATAAGACAGGCAGTCGATCTCAACGGCTAGTTCTTTATGACAAGTCGCAACGGCCGTTATCAGTCCCAGCAAACACGGTCTCTAGCATGCCTGAAGATTCGCATGGCTTGAAGCGCAGGGACGAAGATTAGATGTGCAAACAGCGCACTAGCATGCGAGACTTTCCGAAATACTCATCAGAAGGATCCGCGAGCCAAGAAAAGGCAAGCTTCCACAGAAGCAGTGTGTGGCGGAGGAGAATTCTGCCAGTACGCCTGTCTTTCAGGCATTAATAATAACGCCCAAGTTCTGCAACGAATGAGGGACGGGTGCCGGACGGCCTGAGGCGCGATTCCTGTTGGCCGAACCACGGATAGAACGAGGGAGAGCCACTGGAAGGGAGACGCCGAAGCTTATCAGTTGCCCCTGCCCACGCGACCGCTTATCTGTGGGGATGTCCATGTGAGTCGACTTTTCTCCCCTTGAGTCCTTGAGTTTATCATCCTTTATCAGTTCATTCTTTTTCTCATTTTCCCGTTATCTTGGATATTCTTATTGTTGCACTATCCTGATAGTGTGTTTTCAGCCATTTGCAGTCTCTCGGTAGACTTCCGTCCTATCAGTCAAATAACTCCGGACTCCGGACTCCGCAGCGAGTCAGGCCCCGGCGGCTTCGTGATGCAGGGGCCCAAGTCACCTAGGATACTCCAAGATGTGGAGAAACAGGTATGCTAGTCCATAAGCCATGCTTCCCCTCATCCTTTGCATATCGCGCCATTTATTGTTGTAGTTGAGCCAAAGTCTAATTACGATGGTGTACCCAGCCACTGTTGCATTCGCATTCTTCTACTTTAAATACCCCGGTCGGGCTGAGCGATTCATCCCAGTCAGCCACGCGCAGACCGGATCGAGCTACAACAACAATGTCCGGACATCTGAGGGCCGCGTTCTTGGTCACACTACTACTCTTGGTGTTGGTCATACATGTGCCTAATGTACTTACTTCACCTTTGGATCTTGCGTGCAGTAATCCCAATGGTGGAGATCATCAAGGTCATCATGTAAAGGATGGAAAGCGCGGGGCAGTCGCCAGTGAGAATGCTATCTGCAGTCGCCATGGAATCGACATTCTGGAGTTGGGTGGAAATGCGGCCGATGCTGTGAGTTCTTCAAGCTTCATCCTTGTCCCATCCATCGGAGAGCACCAATCGCGAGTCTTTCAGGGTAGTACTAAGCTTTACGATGTAGCTGGTCGCGACAGTCCTCTGTGTCGGAGTAATTGGTAAGCCCCCGCATTGAAAACCGGACTAGATCAATCGACTTATTGTATGCTCAGGAATGTACCATAGTGGGATTGGGGGCGGTGGCTTTATGCTAGTCCGGGCTCCTAATGGCTCCTTCGAGTTCATCGACTTCCGTGAGACAGCTCCGGCTGCCGCATTTGAGGAGATGTTCAATAACTCGACTCACGCATCTACAATTGGCGGCTTAGCTAGGTGAGATTCACTTTATCCGGCTGGATTGCGCAAGAGAACTAATGTGTGTCTAAGTGGCGTTCCAGGCGAGCTGCGTGGATTGGAGCATCTTCACAAAAAGTATGGCTCATTGCCGTGGTCAGTCCTAGTGCAACCTGCAATCAGGACAGCTCGTGAGGGCTTTCCCGTTGGCCGAGATCTAGTGAAGTACATGAAATCGGCCGTTGGTGACGGCAAGGACTTTTTAGTCGAGAACCCGACATGGGCGCTCGACTTTGCTCCCAATGGCACCCGGATTGGACTAGGAGACATCATGACGCGGAGGCGCTACGCTGATACGCTCGAAACCATTGCAAACAAGGGTCCGGATGCTTTTTACTCGGGACCGATCGCGGAGACAATGATCAACGCGCTGCAGGCTGCGAATGGTACTATGACAATGGAGGATTTGCGCAACTATACTGTAGCCATTCGAAATGTGTCACAGATTGATTACCGGGGATACCAGATCACAAGCACATCAGCTCCCTCAAGTGGTACCGTCGCCATGAGTATTCTGAAGATTCTGAGTACTTACGATGACTTCTTCGCCCCGGGTACTGTGAACTTGAGCACACACCGTCTGGACGAAGCCATGCGTTTTGGGTATGGTGAGGTATGTTGAATTGCTTTCCTCAATAAGCAGCGCGAGAAATCGACTGACCAGTGGACTAAGAGAACTAATCTCGGCGACCCTCTCTTCGTTGCTGGACTGGATGAGTATGAAGAAAACATGTTGAAGCAATCCAGCATTGATGAAATACGACGAAAGATCTCCGATTACCGCACACAGAATGTGTCTGCCTATGATCCGCAAGGAATTGAGAGCCTGAATGAGTACGAATATCCTTCGTCACGTTTACAGTTCTCTACTAACAAGCCCAGTTCGGGTACATCACACGTGGTAGCGGCAGATCATACAGGCCTGGCGATCTCCCTCGTCACAACTATTAATACCCTCTTTGGCAGCCAAGTCATGGTTCCTGAAACCGGAATCATAATGAACAACGAAATGGACGGTAAGTGCTGCACTGTCTGACCCGATTCAACTAAACTAATATTTTCATCAGATTTCTCCGTTCCTGGAAAATCCAATTCATTCGGATATGTTCCTTCAAAGGCGAACTACATTCGCCCTGGAAAGCGTCCACTGTCTTCCATCACGCCCGCCATAGTCACACGTCCGGATGGAAAGTTATTTTTCCTCGCTGGCTCCGCTGGTGGGAGCCGGATTATAACAGCCACTGTGCAAAATATAATCCGCGTTATTGACCAAGGACTATCGGCAGCGCAGGCATTGGCTCAACCCCGTTTGCACGATCAGCTAATACCGAACCAGGTCAGCTTTGAGTATACATATGACAATTCAACCGTCGATTTCATGAAGTCTCGCGGGCATAATGTGACTTGGGTCGCTCCAGGTCAGAGCACGGCGCAGGCCATCCGGGTCCTGCCGAACGGAACATTTGACGCCGCTGGAGAGCCCAGACAGTTGGATTCGGGAGGCTTCTCGATTTGAGTGTTGCCGTGGAAATCAATTTTACGAATCATGCGTCGAGGAAAACATAGATGCAATTCAGGTGACAGAACACCTCTAGGACTGTTTTGCTGGGCGAGTGTTCTGGGCTGCGGAGTATAAATATATCGTCCAGTTTAAATTTACAGCACTTTACACTCATGTATATACGGGAAGTGTATTACGATTCTTGACTTGTCCCGACTGACTGCTAGATGGTTCTATGCAATAACATCGCTTATCTGCACGCTGCGTGCTATTGGAGCTGCTAGGGTATGCACGTCTCGCGTCTCGTCACAAACCCGACAGGCGCTCGCTTACCTTAAGGTAACTTCCCACACTAGACCAACGGCGTGGATGATAAGGCAGAAGGAATATATGTTTCCTTCCTTCACATTCTTTAGATTATATTTGTCTTGAGCATTCCCCAAACGTCCTCGAGTATTTAAGATCTGCTGGTCTGTAGGGTCATTTAACCTGATCCTCTGTCGACATAAAACCAAAGTTTCTTTGCCTCCTCTTCCGTAATTTCTTCAGTTTCTTTCTGGATGTAAAGCTGGAATAGCTCCGCGTGTCTCGCTTCAACCTTCTTAAAGTCAAGCTGAGGGGGGACCCAGCCATCATCATCTGACTGCAAAAACTCTTGGGTGTACGACTTTAGTTTATGCAAATCCCTGTACCTAGCAAGCTCAAGTGCGTGCTTTAATAACTCGTCATTTGAGACTTGGTAAGGACAGTCATGAGGCAGACCCATCTGGCCCCAATTTTCAGAAATGTACACCAGAGAATCACGAAGAGGTATGATCACATCCTTGGACGTATTCTCACAGCAAGTAAACACTGCCGGGTACCTGAATCGACTTGAGTAAATGCTAAATACGACAGAAGGTGAATTTGGCAAGTGCTGCTTCGTAACACTTCGCCAGCAACGCTTCATCTCTCTCTGTTATCGCGAACGCTTTCTCATCTGAGTCCATTTCCTCGAAATCGGGGGGTAGCTCTGGTTTGATCATCCCGATTTGGTAGTTGTCCGGAGGGCAAAGGAAAGATGGCCGCTGGATTTGCATAAATGCGGGCATGACTGACGGTGAATTGCCAGTCTATTATGCTCACGCTGATTGTGGGGTCGTTGTCGCAAACGAATATATTGCCCAGGTGAAGGTCATCGTGCCATAGTGTTGGGTTAGAGAAGCGTTGTACGGGAGTGTAGCTGGCTAGTATGGGTATAACCTTCAAGGCAGCTTCTAAGGTCTGGATATGTTCGTCTTTGAAGCCATAATGGGGCCCACGGGCAACGAGAGGCGAATGCTGTGCATGTCTAAGACCGCGATTGGCTAAGGCGAGACCGAGATCGCGAAGATTTTCCCCCTACGAGAAGTAAGTGTTAGCATCGGATCAGCCTTAAGGATAGAAAACACACATGGACCAGCGTGATTGTTGCTGCTGAACTGTGGAAAGCATGATGCATTGTAGACGGGGCCAATGCAATAGACATCATCTACGGGTATCACTCGACCTCTGTGTCGAACTGAATGACGAATGTACAAATTTCCGTAACCAGGGAACTTCAGCGAGGGCAGCTGGCTTTTTAGCATGAGGAGGTTTTGGATAACTTTGTACTTCTGCAGCTGATCCATCTCGCCCCATACCTCGACCAACTGCCGTCACTTGGCCTTCTCCATCGCAATGTACTCGATCCCGACAGGGTTTAGAGCATCACAGCTGCAGGCAAGGACTTTGGACACCGGAATAGAAGTATGAGACCTCACTGAAGGAGGACCGTATTAACAGTGAGGTTTTACAACGACGACAACAACGTAGTTACCATATTCCAATGTAGCAACTTCAGACGCAGTACTATACTTCGACGGCACAACTTTGGGGCAGGGTATCTTTGCGATGACTTCTTTCCCGTTTGCTGCAGTCATCAACAAAGCTTTGTTGAAGCCACCTTCCATCTTCTCAATCTTGGATATAGGTGAGGAGATAGAGGGCAAAGACAAACTAGCGTGCATAGAGCGTCAAGATCAAACTTGGCATAGCGTTTGGAAATTTCATGTTTCTCATTGACCAGAAATCGTCCATTGTGTATTCGAAAAGTTGCTCACGCTGAATAGGCTCTCCTGAGGAAGCACAACTGTTGGAGACTGTCATGATCCAAAGAGGCAAAAAGTGTAGATAGATACCACGACACGTTAAGGGTATGTTCTGAGGATATATCTTGGCGTCGATGAAGTCATTTTAGAGATTCTGCTTCTTACTCTGTTCATGGTTACGCGCATTGTTGCTCACAAGCAACCTGCAGTTTGGCAAAGTCCAGCTACATACCCCAATACCAAGATTCATCGTGATATAATGAGCTCAATCACATAATTATTAGACTTAAGGTGCAGACCAAATTGTCATTGGATATTAGGATTAGGAGCCTTTTTCTGAATTCGACGTTGATCATCGTGGTAGATTGACAGGTAAACCTTGGCATTGGACCTGTCACGCTGTTGTACCTGGATATCTCCAATTGGCCTGTGCGCCGCCCTTCTCCGCGTTGTGTATTGTTGCACTTAAAATTATTTCCACCAGCTGTTCCTCACAATTCAGCTCAATCCACATCATAAGGGACTTGGAAAGAGAGCAGGGCTCTTCCAAACTGATAAATCTGAGCCCCGATTACTTAATTATTATTTTGATTTTAAGCCTGTCAAGCCCGACTCGGATGTTTCTGCATCACTGTCCTTGCTGCCCATTCAATATGCGGAAGCTATAACTTCGTTTACTATTGTAGGGTGAAGGCTGTCCGGTATGAATGATGTATTTGTTTCTTGTCAATGAGTGAATATCTGAAATTCTCAGTGAGAGTGTTATTCACTGACACTTTCACGTTTGTGTTAGCCATGAAAAGGCATCACCCAGACAGAACCAGCCATGTCTGATAGACCTACAATACTCAGACCTACTGCTTCAACAACTACAAACACATCAATCTACTTACCAGCACAAGGAATAATTACAATAGTCTGTTACTGCGCCCAAAATGTCACCTCACACTGTCTCCGTCGTCATCTCCCCTCCCACCGTCGACTTGGACTCCTACGAACCCTTTGACGAGGAATACATTCGCACCGTGGACGAGATCCTCTCGGACGAACCTAGCTTCGACGCCTCATTCGACGCATACAATAGTGGCATCTCCACGGACGGGGCGAATGACTCTCCACAGCGAGAGCGTGGAACTAGTCGAGCCTCCGTCGGCAAAGGAACTGGACGTACTCACAAGAAGTCGCCTTACTTCTCGACGGGCCAGATGTCTCAGCGGCGCATCGGATCTAAGAGGAGTATTCCCAGGATTGATGTCGACGGCGATGACGGGGACAAGAATGAGGATGACAATGAGGACGACCTCACCCCTGCTACGTCGGTCGAATCCGTGAAAATTCAGGTGGCCGATAACAACATCGGGAACGAGCACCATAATAATAAAACATACGCTAAAGCCAACGGGGATGCAGTCGAGGATGACATCACTGAGGAAGATATCGTCTTCGCTTCAGTTGGACCGGAAGCGCAGGCTCGCTTGCTGGATTTCATTGCATCGCATTCATTTATGCGTGGTGGTTCGTATCCTGTCAGGCGGTCCAAAAGGCGGACCTTTGTGTGTGAACTCTATGAACAAGCGAAATCGACTGGAATGGACGAGCACTCGATCGACCGGTTGACAAACTACGTGAGGAAGACATATCTCGAGCTTTACGGAAAGGACTATGGCGATACCCAAGGCTCAGAGTTTGGTGACGAGATTGATGACGTGGCGGGGGAGAGAAGAAGCTCCTCGAAGGTCTCCAAAAAGGAACGGAAGAGGAAGCGGTCGAATGGCGACACGGCTAAACAGAAACCTAAGAAGAGCAGATCGCAGTCTTCGCAGTCTTCTGAGGAGAAGCGTACTACCTCAATCGCTGACTCGCACACCGATCCCAAGCGTGAGGTAATCGATCTTGAGGCCGAGTATCCTCTTGAGGACTTCGCTAGTGCCACTGAGCACGAGGTTCTGGAGAGCATATCGCCTGCGGAAGAGTTACCCAAAAGACGCCCAAGCATTAGCAAGCAATCTGATCGTTCGTCGAAACACAACAGGTCGAACGGTTTCACCTTTGTCACTCCAGAGAAACGCAACAACAGAGCAAGCGCCTTGTCTTCTTCTAAGCAATCTCTGCGCTCACCTGCGAATTCCAAGGACGAACCTATTTGTCTGGAAAGCGATTCCGATGGACCCAAAAAATCGACTACAGCCGCCCCAGTTGCACACTTAGCGAATCCCATTTTTTCGGATAGGCCGGAAACACGCAAGGAGAGCATAGCCGCACCCAGGAAAGAGAAGAATCACAGAAAGCGCCAGAGCCGCAGGAAGAGAAGAGCCGAGAAACATCGGGAGAGCCTGCAGGACTCGGAGATACAAGAGCTTGCAGCTGATGATCGTCACATTGAAAAGGATGCTACGACCAAGAAGTTCGACCGGGAAAACGGTGGAGATATCAAAGTTGCGAAGGACGTTCTCATCCTTGATGACCCTTTTTGGACTCTGGATTTTTAAAAACCGATGATTCGCAAGGTGTGACCGCCAGCGATGAGGTGAAGTCAAAATATTTTAGGAGCCCTCAGCAAGTTGATGGTTTGGCGTCGAGCAGCCAGATATCCGCTACTTACTCTGCTAATTATGTTCGAGATTACAAACATATTCCTGAGGAAACTCGGCAGATATTGACCGAATTTGGACTGCCATTTGACTTTCTGGACTCTGACTCAGACTCCGACCTGAGTGATGTGCCGAGTGACGATAGCATCTTGGATCATGATGCTTTTTTGTGGGGCGTGATACAACCGCATGTCCGAGACGAGACCTTTGTTAGACCTGCGGAAGGGATCCCTAGGACTCCACTGAAAAAAACCTTATCTGCAGAGCCTGACGTTCCTTTCGTTATGACACTTCGGCCTAGGCCTCCTAAAGTGTCTCCTTACTTCCCGAAGCCGCTCATCGATCCCGATTCCTGTCTGCCTTTCCCCTCAATTGACGCACCCACATTCGGTTTGGTGCAAGAGCAGCTCGCACATGATCCATTCCGTCTGCTTATCGCCACGATCTTCCTAAATCGGACTCGCGGAGGCGTTGCTTTGCCTGTTCTCTTCCGGGTGTTTGACCATTTCCCAACAGTCCACGATATGAGTACGGCCGATTTCTGGAAGTTGCTCTCCATGATCCGTTCTTTAGGATTTCAGAATGAGCGAGCCAAAAAATGCATCGATCTTGCTAAGACATGGCTGGCTCGTCCACCGACGAAGGGTAGACGATACCGCAGACTGCATTACCCACGCAAGCTGGATGGAAAAGACGTCGGCCGCGAAGAATGCATCGGTGACGACGAGGACGACACGCGTGTAGCATGGGAGATCGCACATCTGCCTGGTGTGGGCCCGTACTCGTTGGATAGCTGGCGCATCTTCTGCCGAGATGAGCTGCGGGGACTAGCGAAGGACTGGAAAGGCAATGGCGCGGCATCAGCAGATTTTGAACCGGAATGGAAATCGGTCTTACCACAGGACAAGGAGCTACGGGCATATTTGACGTGGATGTGGCTCAAGGAAGGCTGGGTCTGGGATCGGCATACAGGCAAGCGCAAACGAGCCAGCGAGAAGATGATGCGTGCTGCACGCCGTGGAGGTGTGGCTCAGGAACAGGACGGCAATTTTGTGTTGGAGATGTCGCCAGTGAAGAGAGTCGCGAATGGTCTGACAGCCTGGAGTTGAATGCGTCTAGGATTTGATGTTGGTTGATTACGGAAGACGGAGTTGGGTTGCTTGGGAACAGGAGTTGAGGTCTTGAATTGAAACCAAAAGATACCCTGTAAAGTGATCGTTAATAGGGAAAATTCCAGAAAATTCGACATTTCTGTTACAACGGCTGATGGTATCCAAACACATCACGAGGCATCAATCAGTTCGTTGCCTGAGGCGTGAATGACGATACCCAAAAGTACCGATGGAACAGCAGCAACAAGGACACATCGTAGATTATTGTCAGACTGAAACCTTTACTGTCCTCTTCGCAGTAATTGTCTGAAATAAATCTGCCCATGTAGCCTTACTATCCTATCCTGCCCATCGGGTTTCCATGCAGCACCACGTCACTCTGTCACCCCCAAATTGAGTCTCCAACCCAACTTGGACCACGAGCTAGCCCAAACTGCGCGGGGAAGAAACGAACGATGATTCCACTCCTCACCGCATAATTCTTCCCCATCGAATCTTTCCTTCTCTCTCTGTCTGATGCACTAATTCTTTGCTCGGTCTTCTCGTGCAACACCATTTTGATCGTCTTGATTACTCGGACTGTCAAACTTTCTTTTTCTATCACGTTCTCTCGCATGCGACGGCATGAGTGACACAAGCGCCCTGCCCGGTATCCGACCAGTGAGCAGTGCGGCCTTCCTCTCAAATTAAGCGCCAGACGACATACTGCCAACAGACAGACGATCCCGCTCCAACTGTGGCACAGCATCTCGACCTCCACGAGGTAGTCATCCTCTTGACTTGACTGCTATTTTTTGACGAGGTAACTAGACGAAACATTCAACTCCGGTCGAACAGAGACGCCGAAGAACCGACGGGACCGCCCTGTCGTCTTCCATCTCTCCGTCCATTCATCCCAGCCCAGTCCTACCCATGTCGGACCTCTCTCATCCCGTCATGCTATTTCCCTTGAGGCTAAATGACAGAGATAGCGACAGGGACCGGGACAGAAAGCCATCCTCCTCATCTTCTACATCGTCAAAGCCCAAACAACGTCATCACCGCTCGTCCCACGGACGGCCCTCCCGCCCCTCAACCAAGGATCGAGACCGTGACATCCCCACGGGTCACTCCTCCACCACATCGTTATCTACTTCCATCTCCGCCTCGCGCCAGCAGCGTCGGTCCTCCATGCCGGGTGTCGACGCCGCCAGCCGTTCCGCTACGGCCTCTTTCCTCGAGTCGAGGACCAGTTTGCCCTACCCTACTTTCTCGAAAGCCCATAGCAGAGAGGCTGTCAGCAAACCGGGAATTCCCACGCCGGACCCGACCGACTTGACAGAGGAGAATAAAGAGAGCGGGGATGCAGACGACAAGCATCGTACGGATAGTCGGCATGCACCCCCAGCCCGCCGTTGACGAGTCTGGATCAGAACTCTTCCCGGAAGGGAAGCACGGTCGGCGACAAGGAAGAGAAGGCGGCAGAGGAGAAGAAAGCGAAACCCAAGGACCTAAAGACGAAGATTCGGATTCGAGCCGAGTCTACAAGATCGTCTTCGAGTTTGCGCTCGAAAAGAGATGAAGCGTCCAAGTCAAGCAAAACGGCGAGGCCAGAGACCCCGAAATCCAACAAAGAGAAGGATACACCGGCTCGGGTTGCAAGCAAAAAGTCTTCCAAAGCGAAGATCGCTGACGAGGACAAGCTCCCCAAGCGCTCATCAAGCCGGGGTACTCTGTCCCCGCCTCGATCCCCCGCGACGGTGCGTGAAGTTGGGTCAGGGTCAGCAAACGGGTCTGACGCCACCATTGCACCGCATCAGCCATCGATCACTTCCCGGAAACCACAAACACCTCCTGTCAAACCGCCTTCACGAAACCAAACGCGGTCGTCTATGTCACACTCGTTTAGACCAGGGAGCGGCTCGCCGGTCGATATAGCATTTGATTACGGTCGTCCGCCAACCGCTAATTCAACATTCGGCGCCCTCCTCCCCCTCCTCCGCCGCCGGAGGTGCCCGTTTCCATCCCTAGAGTCGACTACCTATTACAGAATGGCGGTCTGGACCAGCGAGTGCCGAAGACATTACTGCTGGGTCCGGAACACCCCGATCTGCCCCCTCAGCAGCAGTTGCAGCCTGCTGTCGCGGCTGCCAAAGTCTTTGATCCATTCAATCGTCTTCTCGATGACTATCAACACGTCATGGCCAAGAATGGCTCGCTGGCTGTGGCGACGGGGTACCGGTCTGTCGCTCGGCGGCTTCTCGACCGGCTGGAAGCGGTGTTTGCGCGTGACATCTCGTCCGAATCGTGTAACTGCCTGATGTGTGATCACGATGAGATGGAAGAACGTCCATCAGGAGTGAGCTGGGGCGAGGTACTCGAGCTGGTATCTGGTCGCAGGGAACTGCCTAGCTGGCCACCATTCATGATGGCGCCGTCAGTCGAAGCTGACTTGTCGGGCGACGAGCACATTCCCATGCAAAAGATGGACATTGACGTACCTGAAGAGTACCGTGAGCATTATCTCCGGCAGTCGCGCAAGACCAAGGCTGCAGTAGATAAGTGGTTGAATGAACAAGTCGCGCAGCCTACCAGTGCTCCGGAGGAAGTGGATGACGAGACATTGACCTTTGCAATGCTGACACATCTTGGCCCGGAGCTGCGTCCATTGTTCTGTTCGCTTCTAGGCATCACGTCCACGTCGACACCCACCCCACGGACGGACGACCACCAGCCTCGAGCTAAACCGCAGGCGCTTGTGTCATCGTCAATCGCCATTCAACGACTCTACCGGCTATCCTCTCTGCCGCGTGACCCTGAGACTGCAATTTATATGTTGAACAACCCCGGCATCCACCATGTACTCGCAACCCTTGCTGCAATCAGCGATGACGAATGGGATATCCTCATCTCAGGTCGGTTTGATGGATTCTTGCGCAGTGGCGCTGAGGATCCGATCCCCGGCGTCCCAGGCGCGACTCCCTCACGCTGGAATAGCAGTCGATCGAATACGCCCTTCACTACAGGGGGAATGTCCCGCGGTCCGACACCGAGCCATATGGATGGTGGCGTTCGACCGGCCAGTCAGCCGTACGGCGTCAATTCATCATCGCCTGCCTCCTTCGGCGGACCCATTGCGCTGGACGAGGAGACGGAGATCGCGGCCCTCGCTGAGATTGAGCGTGAGATTTTCCTCGGAATGGAAGCCCTCGAGGATGCCTTTGAAGCTCTTCACTGCAAGGCGGAGGCCGTCCGGCGCGCGCTGCGTGAACGTGGAGCAGGCCTGTCCATCGCTAATCAGAACCGCCGTGGATCGTACGTCGAGGCACGACTTGGCACACCATCGTCCGCCTTGGGGACGTGGGAAAGTGGAACAGAGGATGATGGAATTGACGATGACCGATCACTGGCGCCCGATGACTCGGCCAGCAACATCAGTTCCAACCGTCGACGACGACCCAAGCGACGCACCGAACGACGCACACCCGCGCCCGTCGAGGAGGAAGACGAGGAAGAGGAGGAGGCACATCCAAGCCGCCGCGATCGCGATCGAGGGTCGCGAAGGAGATGACTTGACTGAAATTTGACAAGGTTTCGAATCTATTCTACGTGATGAGGTTTTACGACTCTACTTCCCAAGTTGACGGTATTCTTTACGGAAGTCGATGGGAAGACCCAACGACGACGAGAAACGATGTAGTTACGATCGCAACGAAGCGTAAGACATGAAATGAGCACATGGGACCAGACGGCGGGAATATGGATTGTACATGTACTTTCGGCAGATTGGTATTCCTGCTTCTGTTGTACTTTACTCGGAGGTTGACTGAGGATGTTACTCGGCTGTTGCTCTGAATCGTTGTCCCAGTTACTGAATCATGAAGATCAATGAATCCGCCTGTTCCGTAGATGAACAGCATCAGCATGAACACGGACCAGCATGAAGACGGACTCTATCCGAGCCGTCAGCTTCAGACCGCGCCTTCTGCATGTGATGCTCATCAACCAGAGGCCCCTTTTTCATTACTGGATAGTGGGTAGGATCTACATGTACCTCATCGCAGTCACATGAAAGTATACCTCCCAGGGGTTAGGACTATCTACACTATCCAGTCTACCAAATCAATAACATCAAAACCTCGATCCAATCAATCAACACAATAACCCCTTGTATACAACAACCAATAAACAATAAACTCAGTCCCCCAAACCTTGACACCTACCTGAAGCTTAGGACCAAGAACCCGGCTCTTACCTATTATAACTTACCGACTCCGGGACAGAGTACCATGGTTCCTTGACCCCTGAACTCGGGACTGGATCTGATTTGTTCCCGGCCTGGTGAGGGGTTGATAATAGCATTCAATAGATCATGTGGCAGTTAGTGTAGTGTGACTAGGGTTTAGAGTTCAGCTGGGGTATTCCCTAACTATCAAGGTAGCCATTCTCAATCGGGCATATGTTCAACAACCGACTAGGACATTGGTCAGACCAAGAACCAATTAGGCCGATCGAAGATGTTGAGCTCCATTGGATTCAACTGATCTTGAGTTGAATGCCAGATGCCGCGGTTCCTTGGTTGTGTCCAGGTCACCCTGACTCGAGCGCAAGTTTGAGTTTGGGACCCACGACGACGCGGACCACGAGTTGCCTTCCATGGTTCGGTGTGTGCCCAGTTCCATGGGATCCTCAAATCTGGTTCCGGTTTTATCGTGTCCAGTAACCTCTTAAGGAGACCGGTATACGCTACGCTACCGGCGGACTCCGTAACTATCTTAGAAAAAGATACAGAAAAAAGGTAAACAAAAAAAGCAAAGTTTTCTTCTGCATGTTTCTATATACTGCTGATCCTTTGCATGAAGTCTGAGAGCGAGAAGGATCTTCGATTCCAGAAGCGGCGTGGAAATCCGGGGTCGAGGTCGATGTGGCCGCCCCACGTGATACGAGCTGGCTAGATAGATACGATACGAAGGCCTCCCAGTCAAAATAATGGAAGGATTTCCATAATTGGTAAATAGACCTTGAGGCTGTCAGCCACCATAATGATCCTGGCGCTGATCCTTCAGCACTGCAGTGCAGCCAGGGCTGGGTCAAGGTCAGGGTCTGGCTCTGTAGTCCGGCACAGGGCGCGGTGAAACCTTAAAATGTGAATGTGACAGTGACCGGCTCGGTTAAGGCTCGTGTTGGCGGCTCGTTCTTGATAGCTTTTCTGGCGCACCGGGCAAGGAATGAATTATTGGTTGTCCTTTCTTCATCTAGTCAGACGGTCGGACCTTGCTTGGACCAGAATGATGGCATCACGAGGCGATGAGGCTATGAGCCGACCAAGTCTACAATCTTCGAGTCGAAATGCTTAAACTCTGAGAGATTGTGAGTTGCGTAGATTGGGCAGCAGTTGAAGATTTGCGGTCAAGGACGTAGGATAGAAAAAGCAAGTACTCTGAAGAAAGCACGACATGCCTACGCCAAATTGCTATTGACTTTGGCCCGGGGAGGATGTAATACGAAGAATCGAGAGAACGGAAACAGAGGGCAATGGAAGAATACAAACTCGACAAGGAGCAACGAAGTGAGTTCAGGGTCCTCTACTTGCTTGTCCGAATACCCACCGTCTTAGTGAGATCCGATCAAAGGATCGAGAGACCCCCATAGGCTTGCAGATCGTTGATCCAGACTGATGGCATACTGCTCCAGATCAGACCTACGTGTATAGCAGCAGTAGTCATTCTCTCCGCCCCTTGTACGGCATCATCATCCTCAGAGGGTTCTCGAATAACTTCGGACTAGGTTATCAGACGATTCTTCGTTTAATATGGATTTCCCCGTATCACACCGCTATCCGGCGCATCGATGTGTCTCACCTCCCACCAATTCGGGTCCATCGTAATTGTCAGCCGTAGATGTTTGATATACGATGTGCACAATCATCTTCTGCTCAGGTTACACAAGGGTCTGAAGATCGTTGCTGATCGACGAAAAGCAACTGCCCTAGACCATCAACGAGTGTATGGTCGCCCTGGCCTCGACCAACGGCAGCAAGAAGGAAGAACTCGGATGCTTCACATGCTTGACCATGCAAAGTTTGTAGAGCGTTACCGCGCCCACTCACAGACTTGGCGCCGCAGACGTGTCAAATGACTAGACATAGGTCATCAAGCCCCAAACAGAGACAAGCAAAGGTGAGCTTGCAGGATCCTGAGCACGCCACTGCTTGGGAGGGAGAGCCGCATTTGGCTTTGCAGATATCCATAGTGGCCATTGATCGACCTGATGCAGGGCAAAATGATCCTTCAAGCTTTAAGTCAGCCAATTGTCAACTAACTAACATGTGATGGCTGCAGCCTCATTTCAAGTGTGGTCGGACCAAGGTTAAACTAGCCCTGAAGCAAAATCGAGAGTAATCAAGAAAAAGAGGCATAACTCGATTGTTCATGACGCGTAAAGACGAGCGTGTGCCCACAGAACACTTCGTCGAAAGTCGTGATCTTTAGAGTATCCAACCACGACGGTCGATTTCCAATCGCAACTGTACAGTAGAAGCGCCTGGCCTTGTATACTGAATATGACGACAGCATGATCGAGGTATCAATCTTTTCGTACTTCATAGAACTGGCCCATTTTTAACCAGTTGCCCCTGTATCAAGTAAATGACGGGCTTGGCTGCTGAAATTGGCCGGTCCTTTGCAAATGATGGTTAATCTCCACATATTCCTCAGTGTGACGAGAAAAGAGCACCGTCTGTGAACGAGAATCTTGCAGACTTGCTCTCCGTTCACCTGGAAATGCTATCTCTTGGCTAAATTCTTCGTATGTTGACCTGCGAAGGTCTGAGTCTGGGGTATTATGAATAAGCTTCAGACCAAGTGCCTCCAGTCATGCAACTGGACGGAGACAATATGACAAATTCACAATGGACCATACTATTGAGGTGAATATTGTGACAGTGCAAGTCCCAGAAGTGTAAATATATTAGCTTCAGCCTATCAGGCCCAAGCACACAGGAAAAGAGAGCGCAAAATAATCACCGTCTTCACCAATAGAATCAGGCGTACGGAGTATTGCGCGCAGGTATTTGCCGTGTGCGGATTCTAGAAGCATGTCGAAACCGGGTCCCGAGGGGAATCCACCTTTCGATCGGCAGGGGTGCCCTGGACTCTGGTGTACAGGAGAGTGAGGAGACTTTCCTCGGAAAAGGTAATTGCTGGAAATTGCAGAAATTTAAAATGCCCAACCGGCAAGGATTTGACGTCTCATATCAGATTGTTGAAGGACAGGCTCAAGCTTTCGGTAATGAATCCCACAGACCAGCGAACCATGTTCATGGAACCATGCACAAGTCCGTCAGTTATCCAACACCTTGCTTAATCTGTCTTGTCTTCGGTGACCGCTTCTCCCAAGTTTGTTGTGGCGGCGATCAGGTCTCACCAGAGCCGGCCAAGCCGAGGTTCGACTGCAGATTTGCTTGGAAGGAAGTCTTGGGAAGTACCGTACTGCATACCTAGTTTGCGAACCGCAGGTGGGTCGGCGCATCTAGCAGAAAGTCTCACTGAAGAATAACGGTAATCGATGTGCGTTCATTCTTCAGGCCTTGATAATTCGACCGTGATGAGCGATGCCGTAATAGAGTATGATAGCTAGAAAAATTTTCGCGGAATCGGAAAGTCAGGTCCGACCGGGACTCGTGGGTCTGATATGGGCCGTAACCCACGCGAATGCTGTGCGGAGTACCAGAGATATTATCAAGGTAACATGATGAGCGAGCTATCTTTGATGCTGGCTGTGGATGGCGTCGAGTAGATTTCCGTTGTCGTCTTGACTACTATGTATATTGGTCCCGTACACAAGGTATCCACACATGATAATGTAGTTGTTTCCGTCATTAAATGGTACATATTGAGCAAGTAGACGATGCCCAGGAAGTACATGTCGAGAGCCATATTGCCTTTGGGGTATTTCCTATCATAACAGCTAAGTGAAAGCATACTTTGATCAGAGCATGGGGACAGCGATGGTGATGATAAGAAGCCCAGATCTTCCACAAGTCTGGTTGATCGTCCGCAGCTTTGGCTGTTATTGGATATTAGGCGTTAGTAGTCCTTACCTATTTCTCACTAATCAGGCTTCAGTAATCACTGATGGCCCACGCGGTAACGGGCCCACCTGGATGCTGAAGACAAGAACAAGCACTATGCACGTGGATGGAAAAGGACAGTCAATACGGAGCAATGATGGATCCAAACAAGTCTGAAAGAAGGAACTGTCAAAGTAGTGGTGATAATTGGACTATCTAACTACCTGGGTAAAGCATAGTACTTTAAAAGGAACGGGGGAATCAGAAAGACTCGACACTGGAACATCGCGTGGCAGCCACAGATCACGTGATACAAAGCAGCTGCATAAGTCTGGAAGTGGAAATTTCAAATACCTTGAAAAGGTACCAATCCCAAGAATCGACCGCGTTGGCACTGAGGCTTGCCATGGTTTGTCATTGTCGATCGCCCATCATATCCAAGACATTAAACAATTGCGAATCTTAGTTCCTGACTTAAGGAAAATCTTGACCCGGAGAGGAATGAGTTGCGTCAGATGGGCCTAGTTGTGAAACAGCCCAGCCTATGACCCACAAATGCGGGGAGGCACATTCCTTTTTAATGACTTGGTTACATTGTGGCTTTGTGGCCACGAGCCTAGAAGCATGGCCACTCAATACAACAAATAATGCAAAGCATGTCAGTCACCGGTTCCCTAAACAGCCTCTGCTGCGTTACATCTGTAGTTGAGGTTGTCTCAATGCCTCCAACATGGCAACATGGCAGCATGGCGACAATGGCGAACCGCAATTATCCTTACCAGCATCAGAAGAGACGTCACACGTTTCGCTGTTGTACGCCGTAGGCGTCAACCCATCGCGGAGTAGTACCGCATATGATGTGCTTTGGGTAATGCAAGCTCCTCTTGTGCCTCCAGAGCGCACTATCGTCGAGTCCAACACCTCAGTCTTCAGGTCATTTTGGATGTTCTCTATCAGCTACAAGCGGATTCACCATGGCACATCGACTGCAATACAATTCAGTCCCTCGAAATGGTGACATGACCCGCGATAGCACCAAATTCAAGAAGCTTATTTGGTTCAATCGACTCAAGGTTGCGTACCAAAGTGGGATGATCGTCGTCAAGCTTCACCAATATTCAAGTTCTTATCCTTGATACCAATCATACCAGTACTACTCCGTACTATGTACGTACTTCATACTGTCCATCTCTGCGGTCATCGCAGACTCGCAGTTGCACAAGTGAATCGCCATAGTGGGCCTTGGGGAGTGTTTTGGAGTCCCCAATCCGGAGAGGTGTCGGCGATCTAACGCGATTCGAGCGCAGGTCTATTAAATCTCGCGCATGCTAAGCCAAAGTTTGAGTCTTCGGTAACCAGAAACAGAAAGTCTTGTTGGTTTTGTTCTTGCGGGGTTTTGGTGCCTCCCCTCGTGTCTCCGTAAGCACTAATACCATTAGTTACCCGGACTTCCTTGGCCGTGCAATTGAACCGTTTTCCGTGGTGGCAAATCACCTGTTCCTGTTTCTTTCCCAGCACTTCTTGAAGTCAAGGAGGTCCGTTTCTGACTTTCCAACATTGTCAACAATGCAACGTAATATACATCTGGCCCTGAGCCACGTGCCTGGAACCGGGTTCGGAGTTACTATGGCAAAAATGAATCCTAATCCGCCAGTCGGTCTTCCCCCTTGCAACAGAAGCGAATGAAAATGGCCGTCCTACGCAACCCCTGGGCCGCAGCATGAGTGTATCCAGAGGCCAATATGCAAAATAGCCGGTAGTGGTTCAAGGTACAAACCTTAAGAGCTAGTCAGCCGATTTATAATGCTCCTTCGCCCTAGCACCTGAGTTCTCTTTATCCATCCGAGCACGGATTTCTCCCGAATCTGACGGCGGTGATGTCCGTGTCCAAAGATCACTGTGCAGCATCCTTGAACTCGATAGTCCATCACTGGAAAATTCTAAACTCCACTCACCTAACGGTAAACGTTGACTTGCCCCCCTTTCTCTCAATTCCTCGGCCTGGAGAGGGGGGTTTCTCCTGGTGGAGCAAAACTAGATAGTCCATGTACTACAATACTTTGTAATAGGGCTAAAGATGATCGTTAGACTTCTGGCTGTGATTGCGCTGATCAACTCTCCACACAACCAATTCAGGACCCGAACAATCTTATTATTAATAATATTAACATTACGTTCATTTTCCGATAGATTTAACTTTTCATTTTGACATTTTGCTTTGCTGAATGCGCGCTAGCAACAACCATATCATTGCTGGTTCCGTGGCTTACTTACTCACTTTGGCTCAGTCGGGGAGTTGATGGCAATGGGCGTAAACCACTGCTGTGGCTAAAATCTTTCTTCGCATCCTTTCACTGATCATTTCCTTCTTGCTCGATTATTGAGCTTTCCTTCTTCCTATTTCTGTTTCCCTTTTCTCTCAATTCGGTCATTTCCCCTGGTTCCCTTCCCGGCACCCTTCCCTTCGTTTGGAGATCTTCAAATACCTGTCGGTCGCAGGTGTTGGACAGCATCAGGCTACAGATTTTCTCTCTGTGGGACCGTCTTACTCACCAGCTCTTCTATACCGGCCCGATTCGTGAGGACGATGACTGCGACACATACGAAGCCGTGAAATCACCAGGAACCTTCGAGAGCAATGAGTCTTTTCCAAATGCTGTATCTGGCCGGGGCCAGGCAAGATGAGAGTCATGGCCTGTCACGGCGGCTGGCGTACAGCGACGGTGGTATCACATATGATATCGACCCACTACCTGTCACACAACACAAAGGTCTTATTGCAGTGGCTGTGATGGCCCTGCTCTCATTTATTGCAACACTTTGTCTGATCTGTTTCATCACATACCGTCTTGTTTTCTGGCGCTCAAACTATCAGCGGTACATCGGATACAACCAATATATCATTCTCATCTACAACCTGGTCATCGCCGATCTCCAACAGTCGCTCGCCTTCCTAATATGTATAAAATGGATTGCGGAGGACAGAATCGAAGCTTCGTCTGCAGCATGCTTTCTGCAGGGATTTTGGTTGCAAATCGGAGACCCAGCCAGTGGTCTCTTTGTGCTCGCCATCGCCATCCATACATTCCTTCTAGTCGCCATGGGCCATAAGTTGAGCTACCGAATCTTTGTTCTTGGAGTTGTCGGGCTCTGGGTATTCGTCGCTGTACTGGTTATTATTCCACTTGCTGCACACGGCTCACTTGTGTTTATCCCGTCTGGTGCCTGGGTAAGCATGCTCATCGCCCTTCCCGCTGACCTAACAAATGCTAACCGATCCGATCAAAAGTGCTGGATCAGTGAGGAGTACGAAGCCATCCGTTTGTGGACACACTACATCTGGATTTTCCTGGCCGAATTCGGCACGGTCTGTCTGTATGCCGTCATGTGGTTCCAATTACGCGCGCAAATCAAGCAATCCGCGATTCTGGGAAGCAGCCACACAGCCAGTCTGAAGCGTCTCCGTCGAGTCATCGGATACATGGTTATCTACCCAATCGCATACATTGTGCTTTCCCTTCCGCTGGCCGCCGGCCGAATGGCCACCGCCCGGGGCAATACACCGAGTGTCGCCTATTTCTGCGTCGCCGGAGCGCTCATCACAAGTTCCGGTTTGGTCGATGTGCTGCTCTACACTCTGACCCGTCGGAACCTCATCCTCGAATCCGAGCCGAGCGAAGACCGCAGCTACAATCGCTTCGCCAGCAGCAGGAACCGGAGAACAGACAACCACCTCACCACCATCACCGCGGATCCCAAACATACCCGCACAGACATCAGCGTCCTTCGCACCCGCAGAGGCCGCGACGACGAAGAAGATAACGTCGATGGGACGACGCGCGACGGATCAACAGACAACATCGTACAGCCCGGTGTCGAATTGGCCCCCATGGGTAAGGTGTTCCAGCACACCACGATCGAAATCACCCACGAACCGGCATATCCCGAAGCCGAAGGGAGCGACCGGTCCAGCAAAGACTCGTTGCAACGCCCGGTCAAGGGCCATGAGAATGCATCCCGGATGTGGGGTCGATAATGGATATCTGCTCCGTCTATAATGCCCTCGTCCCATCTAGATACACGATGTCCACATTTTACGTTCCTTGTCGCTTCTACCTTATATACCACTTATCTTCTTGACTCCGTACGACCTTCTAGTGATGCCCTACCCCATTCTCCTCCTATTCTTCATTCCCGATTTCTTCAGCTGAGCGGGCATTGCCTCGACTCCAGCGACGGGTGACTCCTTGTACATTCTATACCATGTTTCTCATCTCTTTCCCTTTTTCAGTTTTGTCTCTTGTTCCGAGGCCGAAATACTCATTATAACTTGATGATTGGTGATGATCTTTCTTATCGGATGAGCTCGTTTGTCGGGCTTTGGTCAATGCTATGACGGGACTTGGCCTGCTCCTGGCATACTCTATAATTAAACTACTATTGGTTGAATCTTGCGCGTCGCAGCATCAACGTAAGCTAAGTTACAGGGTAAAGTACCTAGTATTTGAACTGTAGTACAGCTGAACCCATACACGTCTTGCATGGGATAGTGCTTATTATCGATCTAGCAATCACAGCTGAGGGCCACTCAAGATCGTAGACAGATAGCCATTGCAAGGTTGCAATATCTGGACATCGCTGGTATAGTGGGGGAAGACGCGATGTGGAGTTATGGGGGTAAATTCGGCAGTAGAATAACCATACCTGCATAAGGTGTTTTGAAGGTACAGTAGAACAGATGCAGAGTCGAAGGCCATAGCGAGGGCGGGGGTTTGAGCTATCCTCTCTGCGGCGTTGCCATTGCCATACGGATAGTCCAAGTATATATATCTCTTGACCGTCGCTGTTCGAGTCGTGACGTGGCTTACAATATGCGCTCTACTCTCTAGGACCTCTTCGAGCTCAGGGTGACACATTCTAAGTCCTTTCTATACCGATGTGACTGGAACCCCGCTCAAGCTGTCCATCATCACGGGCCCAAGGAGCCGGTGTGAACCACCCAGGCTGCATGCGCTGACGCGGAAGCTTTCTCGCGCGACCTTTCTCCAAGGCTGAGCTGCGGCAGACCTAGCCCACGAAGATGCAGTTGGCTGTTTCCTGGACCCTTGGGAGCTGGCTGCGCAGGGCAGGGGGGATATTTTGAAACGGCGGACTTTCTTGGCTACTGATGTGGATGGCCATATGGTTGGGGGAGTCGTTTGATATGTTGCCGCTGGGGAGGTGAGCGATGTCTCATCTAAAGGGTGCTGCTTTGGCTGTTTGAGAATATAACCAAGTATCTTCAGTTGCCGAGAAAACCATTGGTGGGCTCTGGGGTTAACGAGGAACTTCCAATTGTGTGGTGTGGTTTATCGGTCGACATGTGCCCCTTTCAGCATTCGGGACAATGCTCCGCGCCACGGAGTATCGCTTCCAGTATGGACACGAGCTGTGGTCAACAACAGATGACGGGAAATGCAGCCAGGAACGTCTTCGCTGGAATAATTCACGAGTCGACAAGGACGATACAACCCTCAGGGATAACATTTGATACAAGAGGCCAGAATCTGATTCTGACCGGTTCGCATATCATGGGGGTCACGGTGACATATCTCGTTTGAGGGGTTCTGTCGCAGTGTCGCCTGCACCGCGAAATTGAGGACGTTTGCAGTTTAGAGCGGCTTCGACCGAGCCACATTGGGAGAACTGCACTTGCTGACGGCTGTCATGGAGATATTGAGACTGTATGGAGCGGCTCCGCGCGGTCTCCTTCGCACTGTTCTGAAAGGGGAGCAGCGATGTCAAGTTACTACACCCCACAGGGTATCACGGTGAGCACCAGACTTATACAATCCGTCGCAACTCGCAACAAGGTTCCCTATCCCTACCCAAATCCCGAACTTTCAACCCGAAAGGTTGAGTTTCGGGGTTTGGACCTGTTTCAAACTGAGCCAGCATCGGCTTCTGCCCGTTCGGGACTGGCCCGGGACCTTGTCTCAGGATTCATCGGACTTGGATGGAGCTGCGACTGTTTGCAGCGGAGTTTCCCCTGAATGCAAGGGGGTGAGATAGGCCCCTAGAGAGCTGGTACACGGGAGATCATGAAGCCAGTGAACTCCTTCTTGATCGCCCCTGTAGCCCAGTGCGAAATTCTGCCTGCTTCAGTGTCAACGTTTGACTTCACTGGTTGGAGCATCTCTTATAGAATGCAATGCTGGAATCGAATGACAAGCCGAAGATTTTTGCCGAGGTCTGATGTAACGCGTACCTTCAACTGCACTGAATACGAATAGGCTGCGGGGATTGGTCCAAAGGAGCTATGATGCCTGTCAACTCCCGCCGGCTGAGACGTTTCGGCCGGCGGTATACCCTCGGAAAGTATGGGATAGGCTGAGCCTGGTCTGGTGCTCGTACACTTGTGCTCAAAGCCAATAGTATGCAAGGAATAGTCCCAGGAGTTTGACGTCGCAGAGATAGACACGCATAAGCCGCCGCAATCGGGATTTGAAATCACCAGATCTGCATCCCACTGCTCTTCTTGGTAACATAATGACAGGCACTAAATGCCCGTCATCCATAGAGGCGTCTACTAGGCACCTGAACTGGGAATGGGCGATGCACGCCACAAGCCACCTTTGAACTCCACTCGCGGAATGTTTCTCCGGAATGGACGTACATCTCGTGAACGTGGAGTCATAGGCTCCATAGCCGTCGTAGCGTCTTCTCGGTTTGTGCCGGATCATCAGTTTTAATAGGCACCAAGAAGCTTACCCTGTGCTCTCTTCATGTCTTTCAAGGGTGAACCATGAACTGAAGATGAAGCTGTCCTTATCCATCACAGATTGGCATCAAAGTCGGGATTCGCTTTTCCCGACCGGGCTTTGCGTTTTTCCCTCTCCCAATCACGGGAAGGAAACCCCCACGTATGCCACTGTCGGTCTGATCATGGGATTTTTCCTCGGCTGGAAATATCAACAACCCTGGAGGGCCGTGTAATAATGAGTCGATATTATGGCAGCAATGTTTACCAGGACAGCAGATGTCGAGCCCGATAATCCTCCGTCTCGTAGGCCTCCCGCCAGAGTTGCCTGCCTTTCCTGGTGTGTATACCGCTGGACTTGTAAGCTGTTTCGAATTCGAAGAACTCTGACAGAAAATCCCTTCTACAGCCGCGCGTCCCGAATTCGCTGTGATGGCCAAAGTGCTTGCTCGAACTGCATCGCGAAAGGCTACACATGCGTCTACATTCCTAGCAGACGGGGAGGACCACGGTATGGCAGAAAATTGGCCAACGCTGTCGGCTCGTTTGATGGAAAGCGCGAATCTGGAGGAGGTCTGGAAGAACGAAGCTCATCGAACTCTGATGGAGATGGTATGATTCGTGTGTGCGCCGGTTCTGGGAAAACATATTAACAGTTCCCCTTGCTGTAGAATGGTTGATCCATTTAGTAGGCATGAGTGGACCGGGGGCAGGACTGCGCAGTATCGACACACCAATGGAGGAGATTGAATCCATCTTTGACTCTGTGTTTGCTCCTATTCCAGGAGAAGCAGCACATGAGCTGGATCCCTCTTTGGCGTCAGACCTAGTCCAACTGTATGGAAGTGATGAGGATATGTAAGGCCCTAGCAGTACCAACTCACGATGTCAGTGGCTGATCATCAGAGTAGACTAGATGCCTACTACGTCTTCATCCATCCTTATCACCCCATTCTACCTCCACCCGAACGTTTGCCCGTATCTAACAGCCCCTTGTCTCAGTGGCCAGAATTTCGGCCATCAAGTCCGCTCAGTCTGGCTATCTCTGCCCTCCTGGTCCTCATTCCACATCCGAATGAGTCAGATCCATTGAGAGCAGAGTATGTGAAGCTTCGCAGGGGTTTTGCGCAATCTTTTGCTCGAGATGCCCTGAACGCTGTAGAGCTTGATTCCAGTCTGCTGAACTCATCGGATAATGTTCTCAGTGCGGATAGAGCACAGATTCATCCTAGGGTGCCTTTGCATTTAGAAGGAATTCTAGCTCTGAATCTTCTCAGCGTCTATGAGTACGCACAGCGAGGGAATTTATGCACCATGACCGACCGAGCAAATGAGGCGCTGACATCTGCGATGAAATTGTCGTTGCATGAGTCTCTCGAGGAGGATGAATACGCGGAGGCCCGGCGGAGGAGCTGGTGGATGACGGTTGGTTGTTATCAGCACTCTGGGGTTTTCTTCTAGCAAATCAGCTGACAGATTCTTGTTACAAACAGTACATGGTGGCGTGTCAAGCAGCCATTTTGAACGGCATGGTAGGCCACTGATCACTGCGGTGTTTGCTGACGAAACTAAAAATCGGTAGCCTGCAACATTCGACCCATTTGACCCTCATTTTGTGACACCACTTCCCGAGGTATGTGTTCGATCTTCGAAGTAACGTATTGCTGTACTCATTTTTGCCCAAAGGGATGGAAGGTTCCTGTCGAGGCGCAACAGACGCTCCTTGAGACAGTCGCATTCATGACTGACCTCGAGCAAACGAAGGCTTCCGGTCAAAGTGACTCTGGGATACGGGAGCGAATGTTGAGTCTTGATTCTCAGATTGGATCATTGCTGTTTCTGTGCAGAGACACGCGGTCTGCTCCCAAGATCGTACCAACTCGAGTGGGATCTCCAGAGGTCGCGGCCTCCCAGATCATGATCACTATTGCAGAAATTCGATTGCACACGTGAGCACACTGTTCACAACATCAACACACAAATGATTACTGACATCTCGCGACTAGAGCCAGAATTAAGGCTCACAGACTTTGCGCTTTCCAAGATATTCCCAGTTTCCATCAACGACAATACGAATTCGGCCCATCTCCCACTGTATCTGAATCTGAGACCCAGCCCGAGTCTTCTTCTGCTAGTGGAGCAGAAACCACCCAGCCTTCAACTCCTTCATCAAGCTCACCTCTGCATTTTCCTTTCTCCTCACACGAATCCTCAAAAATCTGCTTCCACGGCGCCCTTAACATCGTCACCTTGCTGAACAACCTTCCTTTTCCTAACCCGACCAACGAGATCCCGCTCAACAGCCCTCCCTATCTCTCCCAGACAACCCGCGTCGAGATTCCACGAAGCATACTCACGTTTGCCTGCTGTGGAATGCAATCCGGCTATGTGATGCTGATGCTTTGTCTCAAGGCACGTGCTCTGCGCGATCGCCGCATGGAGGCGTCCAATTTCGCAAACACCCCCTCTCTGACTGCCCTTTTGAACGAGCTGCATCAAAGCTTACGGCTGCTTGTCAAGTGTTTGAATAACTGTGCGATCGCATTCGAGGCGCTTTCTGGAATGAGAGGTACTCCCATCTAAGATTACCGTTGATTTCGCTGGCTGAACTGACAAATCCCCCGTCAAACAGACCGAATAGCTCAAGCGATGGAGCAAGAGTTCCAGAGGTAGCCTCGTCATTTGGCTTGCTATTACTCGATTTATGGTTGCGCATTAGGTAGGTGGGCAGTGCAGCTGTTGCACATACATTATTGGACCTAGGAGCCTTGGGAAGATGTTTGCTTATGCAGCCAAGGACGTCAATATGCCTGGATAGGATAATATGACACATAGTGCCTGCGAGATCTTCGTTTCCATTGATCTTCATGAAAGCTTCCCTTCTCGACTATCGCCGACAGAAAGCGTACATATCAGTTCGAGACACAAGACCTTATGATCTGCGGTGACACAACAGTTGCCCTCTGATTAGTCACGTCTGGCAGCAGAAAGACCTACTCCCGGTACATTGAAATCTGCAAATAATGATTGTCAAAAAGAGAATCACTTCCCCTTCGTGGGCCTTGCCGCAGGCTGTTTCCTTTAGACATATGCTCAAATACTTGTAAATAGGCGGGTGCTGTGCAATATTCTTCTTATATATTTCAGTCGGACTGTGTTTTAATTTCGCTATTTATTATATCTGAAGTATAGCAGTATGAAGCATGTGATCTAGGTGCTTGCTCAAGTACAGGAGGGCAAGGCTCATCGTCGCGTACAAACAACAACCAATGCTGCCTAAACATCCATGCCACACCCCTCTAAAGCTACACCTATTTCACAACGAAAGAACGGCGCCGTCTCTCCAGAGTGTAATCTACTGCGAAATGATAGTTATAGATTGCAAAATGGCAACAACCGACAGATCTACTAGGCAAAGGGTATCTTGGACTCCACAATCTCAAAGTGACCTTATTGGCACCGCAATCCCAGCTCCTGATACATAGCGATCAGTCTCTGCCTAACCGTCTTCGCCAGTGGCCATGACTTCCCCAGCACATGCAGCGCGCCCACACCAAGCTGGATTCTTGCCTTGATCGACTCCTGCTTCTCTGGGACGGAGACAAACAGGCAGGCAACTGTATGCACTACCACACACATGGCAAGCGCGCAGGTGAAGAACGGGGTGCGATATTTAATTGGATTCGGCAGGGTGGCTAGATTGCACAGCAGATCAGCTGCTCGCAGGAGCTTCTGCGAATGGAGGTCAAGGGAGGCGGAGGGGGAGTGGTCTCGCGTGTTGTTGGGAGGCGTGTGCAGGAGGTATGAGCGTGGATGGAGGCGTATCGCATGTTTGATTGAGGGTGGTGGAGGTAGATCAGTGCACTGGGTAGGGTCAGTTTGTCATGCGAACAGAGGTTAGTTGGATGATTGATGCACGCACAGGTAACTCGTCATTTGAGCTTGGAAGGTCATTTCATCTAGGCCGGAATGGCTGCCGTATACACCCCGCTGGGATGATGGAAGTTGCATCAAAGATGCCACCAGCGCAGCGTCGATGGTCTCGATTTGAGAGTCCAGGTCGATATCTAGTGATCGATTTAATTCCATGACCATGCCGAGAAGGCGTACGGCCCAGATCCTATATGCGAATGATGGGAATCGCCTTTCGTCGTCAAAGTGCCACTTGTTGGTGAGATCTTTGAAAGTCAGATTGCTTAATATGACCTAGCAGATATCAGCGAGGCGCCCAGAAGGAAACCTAAACGACATACCGCGTCCCCGGAGTTATAAAGCTCTTCATCACCAGGCAACCTCACGTCTGCAGGGCTATGGAACAGTTGGAACGCGCTCTGATCACGCATTGCAGCCAAGTATCCGTCCACAAAGTACAGCTCCCAGTAAGTCCGGCGCCAACTCTCCTCCAATATAGAATTTCCGCCCGAGTGTTCGGCCGCGAATGCGGCTTTGTTCATACCCAGTTCCAAGGCCAGGTTAACGGCAGCCTGCATGATACTGGTTGCACTGTCTTCGGCGCCACGTGCATGATCAACAATGGCAAGAAGGACCATTCCCTGGACCTTGAAACCGTCACGAGGCGTCGAGTCGAACAACACGGAATAAGCAGATCGGCGGAAGAGCTCTTTGAGGGACGGATCGTGGTGCTGGTGGGCGCCGATGAAACGCATGATTGAGAGGATGTATTGAGGTATCTTCTCGGATAAGGGAGAGTGCAGTGCTTTCCTTGGAATCAGGAGCGGATGCGAGCGGTGGAAAGTCTGGTAATACAGCTGGATCAGGGGATCGTATGCAACCTCTGGTGTTACGGCGTTTTCTAGCTCGGGCCATGCAAGTGCATTTTCTGGCAAACCTGAGATGTCTAACGTCTGGCGAGCGTCGAGTTGTGGTTGGAAGAGTGCTTGACCTATCTGGTTCTGTCAGTGACTGCTAGGCGTATACCGCCTCATTCCGAAAGAAGGTCCATACATCTACAAGATCTGAGGTAAGACTTGTCCCACTGAGCCATTCTGAGAAATCGTCTGGATCGACTGCAGAGAAAAGGGAGGTATTATCATCCAGCAGCTGTTGGGAAGGATTGCCGTTCTTCGTTCGCCCGCGTCTGGACTGAATATAGCGACATTCCGTGCTGGAAGCCTGGCAGCGGCTACACACTGGCATCTGGGCGTCACATTTCAGATGACGGCGACGACAGCTCATACATGCCAGCGATGACGGCTGCCGGGGAGGCCTGGATGATGTGGAATCTTGCGGCATAGTTATGGTTATACTCGATGGTTCTGTGTCATTATTGAGGTAGATACCCGAGATTTACAGTGGCTCGAAGCGGCCAAGTTCGCTTTTTACAATAACTATCTAAACGTCCCTGAGTTGAACCTGTCGGGTCTCCTGCAAGTCAGAAATTGGATCAATCCCCGATGTTCTCGATATAGAATAATAATAGTAGTAATACGTGAAGCCCAGCGGGAGGCCGAGATCCCCGAATCGGCGACCACAGTTCATGTCTCGGGGACGGCTATACCTCCGATCACTCTTGCATATGCCCCCAAATAAAGTAATAAACTCGACTACGTATTCCGAATGCAATGATTTTTGAAACAAGCCCAATATCTCATTATGTTAACCCTGGATTCCAGCGGTGATACGGGCACCATAGGGATCTAAAGGTTATAATATATCGGGGACTATGGAACCCGAAGAACACCTCAGCTGGCTCATATTATTTGCCCGGCATCCTCCTCATATGCAGCCATCGATGCATCCTCATAGTCCAGTGATTGAATAGTTACTTCTGTCCTCTCCCTTAGGATTCAAGTTCGTTACGCCGCCCCCTACACATGCTGGTTTGCTGGTTTAGTGCGGCTACTGTCCCCTAAGACGGGAGCTCTGCAGTTGCCGGAAGTGAGAGGACACAGTTGGATCCTATAGAAACTTCTGAACTGTGCGCAGAGGGAACTGGTACCCTTTTGATGACCTCAGGCAATTTCCGGAAACCAGAGACCATTGCTGACGCCAGCGGATGGATCGGCTCACCCGCAAAGCATTGTTGCCTGCGTGGAGGAGTGTGCCAACTGGCGAATAGGGGCTCTTGCAACCACTTCGCCGACGCCGAATCCCTGTAAACAAGTGGGAATGACGCTATAGATGAAAAACAGCTTTCCTTAAAGGGATGACATTTTTCCCCGACTAAAGCCATTGAGAGCGACTCGGCGGGTCTGGCCGGCAGATCGGGGTATGGGGCGTCCCTGGAATGAGGCTGTAGGCTGTAGCAAAGAGTGCTCCATATGAGTCCATGGCGTAATGTTCTGGCCTGCATGAGCGAAATATCTGACTCTCCTCTATGGAGTAGCAACTAAGACCTTTGCGGCGTAGGGAGTAGACGTAACTACAAGTGACTTCTAGACGGCGACTAGTCGGTGACCAGAGCCAGGCACAAACCTACCCACAATGTAAACTTCATGAGTTCAGCCACGAAAGCATGAAACTTAATAATCTAGATGCTCCTCTAGGACGGAATTATGATGCCTCTGGTCCCCACTTTCTCCATACCTCATTTAGCTTGCGGATCACTTAGCAGGTCGAAGGATTGCCCGAAAGGTCCCCGAGAGCCAAGGTCTGTGGCGCCGGGGAAGTCCTCCTGCCAAGACATGAAAACACCCCTGTGGCATGATCGCATTGCCAGATCTTTCTTGACAAGGTATCAGTTCAGACGATCAGCTACAATGGCAAATTAGCGGGATGATCCCGTTTTGAAGCTTGGTCAAGGGCTCCATCTAACCAGTTAGTGAACACCGCTGATCGAATTAGCTGGAGGCTTATGGAAAGCTGCAAGTGTCGATTTCGCCAAAGGAGGTATCATATGGATTCTCCTGCTGCTTCGGCCTTTTCTTTTGCTTTGCAGTCCTGCGGTAGTCGCTTTCGTTTCCAGAACTTCCGCAGATCTTAAAATTTCTCACCAGCTTGGTCTGTATACAAAAGGGTATAGTGACCAGTCGTTTCTCCAGGCCCGTATTCCGTAGTCAAGATGGCCTGTCGAAGGAGGAATGCATATTACTTGGAGGAGACTGTTCGAGACTAAGGGGCTTTAAGCCCAAAAGACTGTCGTAGTGGCGCAGGACGAAATCCAAGGCAACAAGCCTAGGTGGCATTCCCATTGATCTGATCAACCAAGCCTGAATCTATGTACTTCTCAAAGACTGACCTACAACGCTAAAACAGCCAATGACTCGTTCAGAATACACCAGGTGTGAAATCAACCACCTGCGCCTTCTCAATTACCCCATCCAGACTCTTCACAAACGCCTGGTGCGCTGGGTCCTTCCGCACATAATACTCCCGATCGGCCTCGTTCTCAAACTCAACCACAAAGACATGCGTGATGCCGTTCTTTGCCCGTCAGTACCACCGGATAACCGCGTTGCGGGAAGCACATACCTGCATTCCCTCAATCGAGTTGTCCTTTCCCCCGGCGGAAGCCTTGATGTAAGGCTTTTGTGTTGTCGGGTGGATGCAATTATCCCTGAGATTGAGCATGCGGGTACATGTCTGGGTGGGTCAGTGTCCGCGCTGGAAGTGTTAGTGGTTCGGGACATACGTCTTTGATGACTTCCGGGCTGGTGCTGGGTTTGAATTGGAACTGGACGACGTGGATGATCGCCATTTTGGTTCAGTGTACCGTCTTAAGTCGCTTCGCTGTGATATCAGCACTGAAAAGTGGTTGAATGCAGATAGTTGAGTTTTGAAGATGACGAAAGTGGGGTGGTCGATATATAGTGGGGTAACCATCTCTGTGAGAGAACATTCGCTAGGGAATTATTCATCATTATATCTGTACCTTAGGCTCACCCTCACCGCTCCGCGTTGACGGGCCTAGATTGAGGTGTTCTGGGAGCCGTTTCTCAAAGAGATATGCCCACATCTTGCTAACCTGTCTCGATTCGCCAGCGCGTCGAAGTGCCTGATTTGCATACTCTTCTAGTAGCTGAGGCGTCACTGGCATGTTCTGATCAGGCATATAGACTATCCACTGGATTAAAGCCTCCTCCTGGTATTCCTTAAGGGCTCTATTGACCGGTTTGTTGGCTGTTCGAGGATGCACATGCTTCTTGACGCGATCACATAGGGTGGCATAAGGAACGCCATATTCACGCGCAATCTTGGAGATATTCGGTTTTTGTTGGGCCTGAGCGGCCTCGTAGGCCTTAAGGAGGCAAGATTCATTAACTTTAGAAGATTTAGGCATACTGGGTGGTTGGAATAGCTTCAAATAGTCAAAATACCGGAAAATGGTCGTTTCGGTGTGGTTGGTGGATACGATCTGGCTCACCATCAACGCGGAGCGTGAGGGTGAGCGTGAGCCTAAGGCACAGATACCACTCACCATGGGTAGGTATTATCAATTCCGCAGTCAAACTGAGTCGAGAAGGCTATACTGCATCTACTGGCACCAGGAAGTACCACACCAAAGAGAGATGATAGAAATGATGAAATACATAACGGAAGGAATGGTCGGAATAAGATCGAGGCCCATCATTGCGGTATCGTGAAACATGTGCCATGATGGACACCCGTCGATCAAAAGTCATAATGACCCTGCGTTAGCGTCTGGTGAACGGACTGTGCGATTGGTATGGCATCACCAGAGAGGTGGTTGCCACCTCAGCGACACTGATCTCAACTCCATTGGGGGATATTCTACCAGAGCACGGCGACGCCGGCGAGTGGCCTTTGAAGAGCTTTGCCTCGGACAAAGAGCGCACGATCGCCAGCCATCTACTCTAAGCGTTCGAGACAGAGTCTATCCCTTGAACTGGATGCCATTCTGTGTATTCTGTAGAAGGAAATACTAAGGCATATATGTCAACAGTTCACCAACCACGAAGATCCCTGGACGATGCCGATTGCTTCCTGGACAATTACTTCTATATAGCCTGTATTGGCTATTCGGATCCGATTGGTGCATAAACTAGCATTTTAATATGATGACCCTGCGGGGTATGTTCTTACCCCAGATTATCGGGATCGTTTAACCCGAGGTTGTATAAAGATTTGAGTATCCTCACAGAATATGCCTAACGTCTTCTGTAGAGATTTCTCGACCAACAATGGCCAGAAAAGGACTTCTATTCTTGCTCTTGGTGCCACATCTTGCTCTGGGACGAATTGACCGGTGGGTTGAAATTGTCAATTCGATCTTCCATGAACGCTCGCTGACGATAGCAGACAGCATGTAGTGTCAAAGTATAATGTTGTCCGCACGAGTCTAATCGACAATGAAACGACGCCTCTCCAAGTCGGCAATGGAAACTTCGCCTTTAATGTCGATAACACGGGCATGCAGGTATTTCCTTACTCCCCTCAGTTCCAGACAATGACCTAATGTGTCCGCAGTCTTTTCTTCCATTCAACACTTTGTCAAGTTGGGCCTGGCACAATGATTCATTGCCAGCAAATGGGTACGCACTCTCACCATACGCTCCGAAGAAACAAGAGTCTGCGTCTAACTTAGGATAGCGAGAAAATCGAGGATTATCACGGTATGGCGATGTTGACCCACGGCCGAAACGTCTCCTACGACATTCCGGACCCCCGTCTGCCACAAGCATCGCAATGGCTTATTTCCAACCCGAACCGAATCAACTTGGGACGAATTGGGCTTCAGTACAAGGGCGAATTCCTCACAGCGTCACAAATTAGTGATCCGCGTCAAGAACTAGATCTGTGGAGCGGCGTTATCACCTCCACTTTCAAAGTCGACGGTCAACTGGTGAAAGTGGTAACACAGGGCGATTTTGAGTCCGACTCGGCTGTTTTTGAGATTCAGTCGGATCTTCTCTCTTCTGGGGACCTGACTGTTGGATTGGATTTTCCTTATCCTCCGATTCACTCAACAAAGTACAAATATGAAGTGTTTGTCGGCAGTTACGATTTCCCGCAGAACCATACCACGTCAATTGTGGAAAATAGGAAAGACCGGGCGAATATTTTCCATCAGTTGCAAGAGACCAGCTACTTCGTCAATCTGCGATGGCCTGCTTCTTCTTTACGATTGTCCCGCACAAGCAATGCGACTCACCGCTATACTCTTGCGACGTCATCCTCATCTACCCTGAAGTTCACAGCCAATTTTGCGCTGGACAAGCAGGTGCCAGATTCCCCATCCGCTCTCCAACACCAGAACCCCATCGACTGGAAGAAATACTGGACTCGTGGAGGGTTCGTCGACCTTACCGCATCGTCCAATCCTAAAGCGAATGAACTTCAGCGTCGTATCATCCTGTCGCTATATCATGTACGGGTCAACAGTGCGGCGAAAGGACAGTCACCCCAGGAGAGTGGATTGATGAACAATGGGTGGTATGGTACGTTACTTGCATGAATTCTCAATATGCAACTGTTACTTACAGCTATCTGCAGGTAAATTCCATATGGAAATGGTAGTCTGGCACAATGCTCACTGGGCGACTTGGGGTCGGCAAGAACATTTTGACAATATCTTTCCAGCGTTATATGAGAGCTTGTTACCATCGTCTCTTGCACGAGCAAAGTCTATGGGGTGGGATGGAGCACGGTTTGTTGCGTTGTGCAATATTCCCTGATCAACTACTCACAGAGCGCAGGTGGCCCAAAATGACTGATATTGAGAGTGGCATCAGCTCACCTGGCGGCATCAACGGCCTTCTCATGTGGCAGCAGGTCAGTCACCTCATACAGTATATTGAATCTATCTAACAGATTAGCCCCATCCTCTGTACCTTGCGACACTGGCGTATCAAGCCTCACCAACGCGCAAGACTCTTGAGCGATGGGATCCCATCTTGACAGCTACTGCAGACTATATGGCTTCATATGCTTGGAAGAATGAGACCTCCGGTTACTACGATCTTGGACCGCCGTATGTTTATTTGCCATTCGAGGACCTTGACTGATTTGAGACAGAGCATACGGTGTCACCGAAAATACTCCACCCACGCAGAGCCTGAATCTAGCATACGAGGTACGCCAACAACTCATGCGCCTAACAGTGCTAATTCTGCAAAGATTGCCTACTGGCGATACGGCCTAGACGTCGCCCGCTCATGGAAGAGAAAACTCGGCCAGCGAGTGCCTGATTCATGGACGACCGTGGCAGAGAATCTCGCACCTCCGCCGCAAGTCGATGGTCTTTATGCTGTCTATCAAGGCCTGAATAGCTCTTGGTGGAATGATACCTCTCTTACTAAGGATCCTCGCAGCTTGATTATGTTGCAGGGTCTCCTACCCGATACACCCGCAGTGGACGCTAAAGTTGCATTGGCAACGGCAAAGAAGGTCTGGGAAGTCTGGACAGACGACAAGATCAGAGGATGGGGGAGGCCTGTGCTCGCCATCAACGCTGCTCGTGTTGGGAGCCCCGAAAGAGCTATAGGGCATCTAACTGCCTATGACTATTGGATCTTCGATGATGCTGGTATGTATTCTGCTTCCGTCAGAGTACAAAGCTAATAGTATTGCCCTATAGGATTCGCGGTTCGTGGTGGCGATGGTAAGTTTCCTTTCCTTGTGATCTGCTAATTCACTAACGACTTTGCGTATATAGGTGGCACTCCTCCTCCCTTTATGCCGGGGAACGCGGGTTTCTTGTATGCCGTGGCATATATGGCAGCTGGCTGGAACGGATCCCACGGCGATGCTCCGGGGTTCCCTTCTGATGGCAGCTGGGTAGTGAAACATGAAGGTCTACGCAAGGCGCCATAGACACTGTAGTCATCCATCCTATCCCGGAAGAAGTGGCTACACCATCAAGAGACATCAATTTATCCGGCCAATAGAACATGGACCAGATATTACCACCCCGCAAACTGCCTGCCGTGAAGAATCGTAAGCTCCATTTCGGCACTTATCTAGTAAGGTTCAAGCAATGATCGTCGTGATGAAACCCTTCGTACCCCGGATTGTTTCATCTCGACCTTGCTCCTTCTGGCACGGAGCGGAAGAATGGGTAGACGAGCGGCTTTCGCACCGACATCCCGACTCTATCTATATATTGACATCATTGCTCTTCTTCGGAAGAGCAGTAATCATACCCAGTAGTCTTCGACGTAACAATCAACCAAAATGCTCCTCGAACTAACCCTCCCGCTCCTCCTCGCCCTCACATCCTCCGCCCAACCCACCCCATCCCCAACAACAACCACCCTCCCAACCCTCCAATCAGGCTGGTACTTCATCCGCGCCGTCGAAACCCCAGCCTACCACAGCTACCTGCAGACCATTCCCAGCGCCACTCCCGGACCAGCCTATCTCGCCTCCAACACCAACGCCGGCCAATTCAACATCATCTCCGGCCAGCTAGTCTACAACACCGGGGCAAGCCAGCTCTACATGAACGTCGAAGATCCCGCCGACAAGACGCAGCGCACCCTGCAGACGTGGTTCAACGCGACCCAAAATCAGTACGGCACGTTTGGGTTCCAGGGGGATGCGGTGACGTGGAGCGTGAGTGATATTGCGCGGCCGAATGTGGCGGCTTGGTATGTTTGTGGGGGTGAAGGGAGGTTGTATATCAACACAGGGCCGTATGGGTACCAGACGCCGGAGGGGTGTTATGATGAGACGGTATGTTTGTGTTGTTGTTTGATGTGTGGGTGCATACTGATGGTGCGATGCAGATTCATTCTTATGGTGGTTCGACGCCGACGATTTGATGTGAATGGTTTTATGGGAATGGCATACGTGTTGTCTGATGTTCATCGTCTGATTGGAGGAATGATTACCATGTTAATGACTTATATTACACCGGAATGCGATTTTGATTGCCTAATGATTGTAGCTATGTGCAATGAGAATTGAGAGGTACCTACAGCTATCTCCCATTGTGTAACTAGTCATGACCGCCAACCGGCTTAGGCACGTATGGCTCCTCCAAGAACCTCTCCTCGTCAGCAGTCAAGATCTTATCTTTGACTTGTATCATCTCGTCCATTCGCTCAACAGAGCTGAAGCCCACAATCGGGCTGGCGACACGCTTGTTTACCCAAGATAAAGCCACCTGACCCATTGTCCACCCCTTCTTCTGTGCCAATTCTTCCACTCTGGAGATGACCACCTCATCTGCTTGGGTCACTGCGTTGGGGTCGGTGTTCTCCGAGCGAGCGGTTCCTCGAACTTGTGCGAGCGGACGAGCAAGTTTACCACCGTCGAGAGGACTCCACTGTTGAGATGTCTCGTGAGTCAACCTTTCCATCAGAATAGCTCACCGGTACTTACAGGAATCAGACCAACGCCTGTCTCATTACAGAAGCGATTCATCTCCCGCTCCTCCTCGCGGTAGAGAAGACTGTATTGATTTTGCATGGAGACAAACTTTGTCCACCCATGCTTCTCGGCGCAATGCTGCATCATAGTGAACTGATACGTCCTCATCGAGCTCGCGCCGATGTACCGCACCTTCCCGCTTCGGACGAGGTCATGGAGAGCTTCCATGGTCTCTTCGATGGGGGTGAGGGGATCGAAGCGATGGATTTGAAAGAGATCAATGTAGTCCGTACCAAGGCGATTCAGCGAGGCGTTCACTGCGTTGAAGATCGCTTGGCGGGAAAGGCCTGGAGGGTCAGTATGCAATGTGATCTGCGGAATCGAGTTACATACCAAATTGATTGACGTATTCCTTGTCCTGGCGCATGTCGTCGGCGAACGGGACAACAAACTTGTTGTCGTGTTCACTGACAGGCGACCAGCATTTCGTAAGGATGAGGATTTTATGCCGAGGAAGATTGTAGTGTTTGATGGCCTTGCCAATGATTTCTTCTGACTTGCCGTTGGAATAGTTGTTTGCGGTGTCCCACTGTTCGACTTAGTCACTACTCATCGCATAGTGCGGAGAGATACTAACAGTGGTAAGTCCCCGGTCGTAGGCAGCCTTCAGCAAGGGCAGAGCCTAACAACATGTCAGTCTATTTCATGATCAACTTGACTGTCCGCTGACCCACCTTCTCCTCGTCTAGAATCCACGATCCCCATTCCGGAGAGCCAATGCTCATGCCACCGAGAATGGGCACGGAAACGCGTAGACCACTCTTCCCTAGCTGACGATAGGAGACTTTCGTTTGCTCCAGGGAAGCCTTTAGCAAGGGAGGAAGCTCAGCGGCCATTTTGAAGTCTTATGCTTTGGTGTCTATATCTGGTTTCTTTGGAGTCTTCCTGAAGCAGTCGCAAGGTAAATTGAGTCTGAGATGGCGATCGATATTCCTCAAGGACCTGGGTCGAGCTTGCTTTTATACTACAGCTCTCAATGTCCATATGGTGCAGTGCGTGACTATCTGCTTCCATCTCCAGCAACCTCAGTAAGCTGATTTCTAAGCAGCGACAACAACAAATACGCCGAGTACTTAAAAGCCTCATATTGGAGCCTTTTCTCCGTGATATCATGAAGTTATCCCCGAGATCAAGATGTCATTGAAGTAAGCACAAGTCCAAATACGAGATAATGCTTGGCTTTCTTGTCCGTCAATCAAGTCATGACTCATATGGCGGGACTTCGGGCCGAGTAGCGAGCTCTTGTTGCTCAGAGAGTTTGCATAGCAGAAAGGTCATGAGGTACTACCTTTGTGTTCTAGACTCGCTATATGATTATGTCGAGCTGGCACAATGTGAAGCTGTGAGCCAATGCAAGCTTCGCCGGCACTCAGACTCAGAAAGCTACCTTGCAAATCATGGAATACGATAGCCTGGCGCTTGTGATTGGAGGCTCACCATGTGGCGCGGCTTTTCTTCGGGTCAATTTAACATGGCATTCATCTCGTGCAGATACAGCTTGATACATTCTTGGTGTACACATTTGGTTGCCGTGTTGAACTGCGAAATATCAGTGTTCTATGAGTCTAGAACATCGGAAATTTTCGCCCTCGCTTTTTGTATAGTCTTCTTTCAGAATACCCATAATCAGGCAAATCAGCCCAAGATGACAAGAGACGGAAAGAGGAACGTGTGACAAGAAAATTCGTGTTGGGAGGACTCATGGCAGTGATGCAGCCAGGACGATACACAGCTTCTTGCCTGAGGCATCAGCGTGACTGTCGATTGTCCAATCACGTCCTGGCTTAATTAGCAACCAATCAACGCGGATCGGGAGGCATAAATCACATGACCTACAACGGTCTAACCTGATCAAGCAATGCCCTTATCTGATAAACTTGAGATAAAAAAATTTCAGAAACGCGATCAACGCCTTGCACCACATCAACTCCACCTACAGACATCAAAGATGGGTAAAGCCGCACGAGGCAAGCGCAATGCGCCCTCCAGCTCTCCGTATCAGAAGCCCGGTGGTGCGCCACTCTCCAAAGCAGCCTCTGCGATATTCAAGTTCAATACGGACATCGGCCAGCATATCCTGAAAAACCCCACAATCGCCGATGCCATCGTCGACAAGGCCAACGTCCAGCCCAGCCAGACGGTACTCGAAGTCGGTCCGGGTACGGGTATCTTGACGACGCGAATTCTCCAGAAAGCGAAAAAGGTCATTGCTGTCGAACTGGATCCCCGAATGGCGGCGGAGGTCACAAAGACGGTTCAGGGGACGCCTGCGGAGAAGAAACTCCAGGTTATTTTGGGCGATTTCGTCAAGACGGATCTCTCCAAGCTGCCTCCTTTCCAGATTTGCATCAGTAACACTCCTTATCAGGTATGATTCAACACATGGTCCGGTGTTGTGGTAAACGCTGACGAGTCCGCCACAGATCTCCTCCCCGCTCATCTTCAAGCTCCTCTCCATGCCTAACCCCCAAAGACCTGCATTCTCATGGTTCAGCGTGAATTTGCCCTTCGGTTGATCGCCCGTCCCGGAGACTCGTTATATTCCCGACTATCAGTCAACGCACAGTTCTTCTCTCGAATCTCGCACGTAATGAAAGTCGGCAAGAATAACTTCCGACCCCCTCCACAAGTTGAGTCTAGCGTGGTCCGAATTGAGCCCAAGGCTGATCGACCGAACATCAGCTGGGATGAATGGGATGGTATGCTCCGCATCTGCTTCGTACGAAAGAACAAGACTCTGCGCGCGGGTTTCATGGCCACGAAAGTGCGTGCGCTGATTGAGCGCAACTGGATCACATGGGTTTCCATGCACCCGGAGAAGGTCACTCAGGCGGACATTGATTTCCTCCAGGGCAAGGACGTTGCTGCCCTGCAAGGTGCTGATGAGGATATGGATATGGGCCAGGATGACGATGAGCCGGTTGAGGGAGGTGACGACGAGGATGATATCTTCATGGACTTGGGAGTGGAAAACGATGCCCCAGTTACTACGAGCAAGGGCTCACTCGTGGCAATCGGAGACCAACAGGTCCCTCGGGCCATGGTGACAAAACTGGTTCAAGTGAAGATCCAACGGGTTTTGGATCAGGCCAATATGGCGAATGCTCGTGCCCAGAAGTGTGATGAGAATGACTTCCTCCGCCTTCTCCATGGATTCAATACTGAAGGTATCCACTTTTCTTGAGTAAAGGGTGATCCCAAGTGCATTGCAATCTTTTCCAAGCCCGTCGCAGACTCATGTACTCCAGTGCCGAAGTGATCGAACTTCTCGCGCCATGATGCTCATATCCTCGTTTTGATACCCACTTGACGCCTCTGAGCTCGACATCGGGATATAGTCAGATCTCAGATCGTCGACATATTGTCCATTGCGCAGAGTACCGTTTGTCAGGAGTCAGGGCGCGAGTGAAGCATGCCTCTCGGCTATACCCGTGCGCACTCGAGCTTGATGATACTTTTCTGGTTCTATAATTCCACAGTTAGACTACGGAGATACCTCTATCATCAGTAACGAAGACATGATATTTATTCAGTTCTTATGCTGCCAGTCCTTCTTTGGTTTCTATACACTGCTATAGGGGCTCTGGCGTCTTAGAAAGGTGGCAGAGAAATAGAGCAAGGAATAGACGCTAATCTCGAAAAGGGAATTTCGCGAACACTGACTGATTATTGAGTGATTATCAGCTTTCTCCACTTTCTCCACTCATTATTAGTATTTGTTATGATAAGATGACAAGAATCGTCTATACCTTCACTCCTATTAATCTCATATCAGCCATACAACGTCGGTCAGCATGGCCGCTTCTAATCGATCAAAGCCCCTCGTGATCGTTTGTTTCAGTTTGAAGGGATTGTGAAGCTATCCGTAAGGTATCTCAGGGCGGCTAAAATTTCGATACATCTCCCTACCCTGTCTCGTGTCCGCAACCAATGTCCCAATGGTGCTAGATAAGCCAGATGATTGGTTGGCATGGAGCGCATATATCAAGGGCCTCGCTGGGCGGAAAGGCGTCTGGAACTACATTGATCCAGACGATGAGACAATAACAATAGAGGAACTCGTCGAGCCAACGATACCTATCCCAGCAAAGGCGTTCAACGAAAAGGATGCAAATGATCGATGGGCTTGGCAGCAAGAGTCTAAGCTATACGATTGGTCGTACAGGATATACGAACGAGACCCAAACGCCATGATGGCGACCTGGACGGCCATCCAGACCAGTGTCAGCCGGAACCAGCGCTATATCTTGAACCTGGATATCTCGGAGAGGCAGAGGATGATCAAACTACGAGATAAGCTCAAGCCGGATGACCTACCTCGGACGATAAAGCTTATGGACCGCTTCGAGAAGCTAGGCGAGAAGAAGCGCAATGAGTCCATGGAGGAATGGCTCAGCGAATGGGAAAACGTAATTCATGAGCTTGAGGATGCTGAACTGGTATATATTGAGTACCGGGCTAGCCTCGAGTTCATCAATTGACCCGCTTCTGCCACGCTACGCGAAGATTAGGCATGTGAATCTCGAGCCAGATGGTTCAAGCATCCCGGAAGAGATAAAGGCCTTCCGACACCGATGGGAACGCGCATCGGACGAAGACAAGCAGCCCAGTTTTGCAACCTTTCAAGGACAATCAGACCAACCAAATTGTTCAACCCAGCGCAAGTGCATCTGCGGTGACTACCATCCCTTCATTGACTGCCCATATATCATATTGAGTAGGCGTCTAGCCAGTTGGAAGGCAGATCCAAAAAAACAAAGGCAAAGTTTGAGAAGGTTAAGAAGACGAGAGAAAACGTGAAAGGCGACTATCGAGAGAGCCGTTGAGGTCGAGCAAGCCAATCAGGAGGCGAGGCCAAATCAGACGGTCCTCTGGTCAATGAAGGCGAGGTACCGTGCTAGACGCAGGTGTTGGATACGAACTGGAATGAAGGTCTGGTTCTTCTAATCTACCTTACCATTGTTACCTAGCGTATATAGTAGAGGATGGTGATTGTGAAAATGAAACTGTAGAGTCTGCCAATCAACGGCGGATCAGTGGGTTAGACCATGATAAGAAGGGAGAAAGCAGCAGTCTAAGCGGTCGAATCAGAGGATCCGTCTGACTACTCCTTTTCCGCCAGCGGCAAGTTAGGTTGACATGAAGACTCGTAATCGTGATCACGGTCAAGAGATACTCGGCTCATGGTGTTTTCTCTGGTCTTCTACTACACTGGTCTTACGAAGCCTACTACCAACCGTACCGCATGCCCCAAACGTAGGCCTACACGATAATGGCAGACAAAGCACCAGCCACGACAGGCCAAAAGCCAAAAGTCGACACTACTGCAATAGCTGAGACCCCAGCTGGCTGTACAAAAGCTGTTGAGCCGAACAAAATGGTTTTCTTCTACCCAACGCCTGACCAGCGACAGGAAATATATATCCCCAGAGGACAGTTTCAGAAAGCGTTGGAACTCTCTGTGCAGAAGAACTGGGAGGAACTGTGCAAGTTCCCTGCTTACAGTGCGTGATGTCATATTGGCCCTGACGCATGGACGTGATATAACTGACCTTTCGTGTCATAGCTGGTCAGGGGTATGAGGAGTGGGATTAGTGGAGTGATGGAGTCATTCCAGGGTTTAGGCGAAGTGATGAAGCTTAGTACACGAATGGACAATGTTGACGGGTCAATCCACTCTGTATCTTCTGGTTTTGATGATCCCAAAGCGTAAAGTTTGGAATGATTTTCCATACTACATAAGCACGGGAGGTCGATGTGTAGGGAGGATCAAGCCATACGCTCATAAGGCTGACGGTAACCCCACTGTGGCAGTGCAATTGGGTTGCAAGGTGGAGCTGCACTGCCGCACCTCCGATGAGATGGAGCCAAGGCAGCAGCCCCATTTGTTTACCTAAAAAAGCTGTCTCTGGTCCTCCTCATCCTCCTAACGTAGCACACATTCTCATTCCCTAAGCTTTTCATCTACATCAGCCCATTTGACATATATTGATACCCAGTTATCGTTCTGTGAAGGAAGAAGACCATTTACGCCTGTTTTCAGGGTTGTCTGCCGTTTCTGTTTGGCGCAACATGTCCGCGCAAGAGTACTACAATTCAGGCTATATCGGCGGACGAAAGCCAGATACCCCATTGAGCGACAATGGCAGCAATCGACCATGGACCCCGCCATCCTCAACTGTCACTCCGGGACCTGAGATGTCCTACTCAACAGGAGTAGACAATCGTTCTTACAACTATGGTGCCCCGCCCCCGCCGACAACCAGCTATGGGCGACCTCAGAATGTATACCCGTCTCAGCCTTCAGAAGGCATGGCCCCAGGATTTTCTCCGCAAACAAAGCCACAGCAGTACGACAATGAGTATAGCAACTCTGGGCCTCCACCTTACACCCAGCACTACTATGGCTCGCCACAGCCGTATCCCCCATACCCTACACATGACGCCTATCCTGAGCATCCACCCACTCAGCCGCCGTATCCACAGGATCAGAAGGATGAAAGAGGCTTCATGGGAGCGGTTGCTGGAGGCGCTGCAGGTGCCTACGCCGGTCATCAAGTCCATCACGGCGTTTTGGGGACTATCGGAGGAGCGATAACTGGATCTCTCGCCGAGGATGCAATCAAGAAGCACAAGAAGAAGAAGGAGAAGGAAGAGGGCAAATGGAGCCATGGTCGCCGGTCTTCGTCCTCCTCTTCGTCCTCGGACAGTGATGACGGTCGGGCTCGTCGTCAACAACATCCTCCTGCAGAGCCCTCTTTCCGAGGCAACTTTTCCGCCTCGTCCATGGATATCAGCCTTGAGCACGACTATGAGCTGACCGCTAGATGCCGTTCCATCTCAGGAGAACTGCATCGGTCGAGTATCTCTCTGAACTCGGTTCTCTCGAACCACTTCGGTTCTTTTGTATGGGCGCGTGGCGGTAATTTTGGAGCTTCGGCGAGAAATGTGCATCTTGCTGAAGGTGGAAGGGTACTTGATGCTGAGCTGGCCGATGGAAACGGCCATTGGAAGAGGGCGTGGGTAAGATTGGATGAGCGGATCACGAACCGGAACGGACATCTTGTCTTCCTGGATTGATGAGCATGAGGCTGGTACACTACTTGTTGCAATTTAATGTTAGCTCATGACACCTAATGAAATTCAAACCTTGCGGGTCACTCTAATAGCAGCTTTTAGGATTGGAAGAGACTTGATTCCAATTCAAGTCAAGATCATCTATGAAAGAAGTGAAGACTGAGCACGTCTTGCCTCTAGCAAACAGCATGTATCGGTGTGACTGCGCCTGTCTCAGTGTGAGGTGATTGTGTTGTGTTGTTCGTCTCCCTTCCCTTTCCCAAACCACTCAACATATTCTCAAACATCCTGGATCCCATTCAGATATCGTGAGAGATGGAGTCCTTCCCACTGAGCTTCTAACCATAATCTTTCATCATCTCAAGGACGAAACCCACACATTAAATGCGGCCAAGGACGTACCGGGGAGATGGCAGTCCGGAAGCCTCACAAGATGTACAGTTGTTTCCCGCAGATGGCAAGCGATTCTCGAACCGATGATATGGGAGAAGATAGCCCTACTCAAACCAGACGCACTGACAAGGCTGGAGAAATACCCCACCGGCAAGCCACGTCGGATGACAAGAATTAAATGGGTGAGGCAAATTTCTCTGGGAGCCATATGTCAGTTTTGAGCTCGCAGAGCGGCTTCGCGAAGCGATGAAAAGTCATCCCATGGTGCTGGCTTGTGTTGTCCCGTACCAGTATTACAGTTTATATCGTCAGGCATTCGCAGGTATCTTCCGCCTCTTAAGCCGATGGGAGGCTGTCTGCGACGAATCGATGATTGACCTATATCTTGCTGTGGAGCATTCACCATCTCCGAAGTTGTCCATCCGAGAATGGAATTGAAGATATGATCGGGTTGCAGGTCATGACGATCTAGGAGATCAGGGAGATCCTGGGTGCGGCACACAGTGCGTTTGGTTCAAGTGGTATTGACTATGGATTTACTGTTGCTCTGTTGAATTGTTGACGTACACACCCGTCCAAAGAGTGAGCTCTACAGCCCCTTATTCCTAGACGTATAGCTCAGGTTTACATGCCTGGGTGTCTCAGGGGTCGTTATCTTCAAGTGGAGAACACGGACATAATGATTACCTGGAACTCGTCCGAAGCCACGGATTCAACGCATCGAGAATCCGGCTTGGGAAGTGCCAGTGGTATCAGAGTCAAGGACAAGATCTGGCCCGGTTCCAACACCGGAGCTAGAAGGCTGCAGGAACAGACTATGACTGACAAAGGTATACATGACAGAGATCGACCACAAGTCACTCTGGTCTCCTTACTCGGGCAAATGCCCACTTTTTGATTCTGGATACTGCTCTGCACCTTCCGTCCGTATTGGAAGTAGCGCCTTGCTTAATGTCCCTGTCATCTGCTGCCTACGATGTCTTTCCTCACACTTCTTCAACCTCAAACTAAGGATATGATAATAACAGAGATCAATCCATAATAGAAACGATTGGTATTTGGATATCAGCATCCTGTTCTGTGGCCCTTGCAATTCACCTCTAGCGAAAGCTAATGCAAAGGGACTCTGAAAATGCACACAATCTGCTCGCGTACCCAAAAATAAAAGGGACCTTTCCATTGACGAACGTCAATACTGGAGAGAGCGTTCCTTCATGAGTGTCCAGGGAACACGATACCTCTGCAAGTCTGGCATACTAAGCTCCGTGGCTTCAGGGCTAAGGACTGTATATGATCGATGTAGATAATAGTTATGAGTTGTAAAGCCAGCTGTGGCTCCATCCCCAGTCACAGTGCGAGACCTCGGTAAGAAATGACCCTAATACAAAAGGCAAAGCTACTGAATGTGTGTGTGGTGCAACATGTCACGGACTTGGCGACCCCAATACGAGTCACCATCATCCCACTTTCATCGCCTTCTGTCAGCGTTGCCAGCATTATCATCATTGAAAGCATTATTTGCCCTCCTTACCATGACCAAAGTTCGCCTCTCAGGAGATCTCTACGATGGAGTTGATAAGCTCTCTCCCCTGCGAGATCATCGGTCTCGTACTTGCAAACTGCGAGAGCTTTGCTGAGCTACGCGACGCAATCTTGACTTGCAGGTCATTTACTCACCCTGGGAGTCCCACACAGGGTCAATTCTATGGCATATCGGCCTACTTGAGATCATAGGTCTCAGAGACGCGCTGCTAGCAGTACGGGCTCTTCTCATTCTTCGCGCCGGCACTTCAGTAAACCTATCCTCGCTAAAAGATGATGAACACTTAGGTGAGAGCAACAGGGATCGCAAAACAAGCGATCCTCAAGGGAGATCTCCCTCCCTCTCCATTCCCTCTGGGTGAACTGAGAGGAGAGATCTGCAAACCAAACCTGGATGAGCTAAATGTTCTGTTCGATTTCCGGCATTTGGTCGAGTGCCTTGAACGGCTTGCCAGGAAGAACAGTGCTCCATACTGGTATGATTGCATTGAAAGTCTCGAACCAGAAGACAGGATCAACGCGTGGATAGTGTGGAAGGAGCGCTTGCACGTCGCGTTGTATCGAAGCTTTCTTGCAGGTGCCGCGCAGTATCGTGCGTACCAGGAGCCCTTAACTCTGGCGAGCACTTGCGGCCTTCCGGGTTTCCTGGATAAATTCCGGAAGAATATGGAGTGGTGGGATGAAGAGGACGATTTATCACGATGACTCTTTTACGCCGGCTGAGAAGCGCTGTCTGCTCCAGTATCCCATATTCAGATTTAAGGAATTCCGATATCATGGGGATATATTCCAGCCTCTGGCGAATATCCTTGTACAGGAGAGCAAAAGGATGCCCAGGGTGGTGAATACATTAAGAGGTGCAAGTCTGTATGAGCGCTACGGGGCAAGACAATATGACCCTGGTATGCTCGAAAAAAAGCCATTCCGAGGCGCTCTTCCATCAGCTCTTGCAGTTCATGTTCGTGATACATGCTGGCGAAATACTTCCGACTGCGGTTCAAAGACAACACATGGGATTGGGGAAACAGCCGCGGCCATGACTCGCATAAGCTGGCTTGGTCTAAATTTACCGTTGGCGGTGATGTGTTCTGTGAGCGTATTCTGGCGGACGGATATGACGAGGCTTGTGCCCTCTTGGAGTCGATCAATGCTCCACTTCCTGAGCCTTGTTTTGTTCATGGTTCTTCCTGGCCCCTTTTCTAGGTTGTTCGAACTAGGAAGTAGGTAGTAAGTATTGCCGTTGGGATCCATAGAAAACGGGATAAAGTTTTCCAGATAAGGTTATTGAGGTTGAATACGGATACTTAGCCAATCAACATCCTCCATCTGAAACTATTGCGTCTCTAGTGGCGAATCTTGACTCCACCGTCATATACCTGAAGAGGCAAGAAATACGGATACGGAGAGGTATCGACAATTCGACATCTTGCAGCCTGCTATAATTATTCGTCCGCCTGATGACTTAAGAGGTTATCCCGTCCAGTCTCACTTGTCCCTTCCCGCTCGCTTCTGGCAGTAATCTCAGAACCATGGGAAGACCAGGGACACGTGCACAATCCTCTGAAAGCGATGGACCTCCACCGTATTCACCCGTGGATGATGGACTCGTTGCGGAGTCGGCTGATGTTCGAGGTAAGTAAGTGACAATATCAGGTAGTATGTCGCTAACTAGACCAGGCGATGGGCGAGTTGACGTTGATCTGAACTCGAGGATTGCCCGCACTCTCGCTCGGATCATCGAGCTGCAACAGGAAGACATCCATAACCCACCTCCCAACTATCAGCAGGAGCTCCAACAGCAGCAACATCAAGCTCATCAACTAGAGCCCGTCGAATGCACCATCCACCTCAATATTGTGATCCAGATTGTTGGCAGCCGCGGCGACGTCCAGCCTTTCATTGCACTCGGCACGGAACTGAAAAAGCACGGTCATCGCGTCCGGCTAGCTACACATGATGTTTTCGCTGATTTTGTGAGATCATCCGGGCTCGAGTTTTATCCTATTGGCGGTGATCCAGCGGAGCTTATGGCCTTCATGGTGAAGAACCCCGGCCTCCTACCGCAGATGAAGAGCCTTCGGGGCGGGGAGATCCAGAAAAAGCGAGCCATGGTTGCAACGATGCTGGACGGATGCTGGCGTTCGTGCATCGACGACGATCCATCTACAAAGGTTCCATTTGTGGCGGATGCAATTATTGCGAATCCGCCCAGCTTCGCGCATGTGCATTGTGCGCAGGCGTTGAAGATCCCGGTGCATCTGATGTTTACCATGCCGTGGAGTAGTACGACTGCTTTCCCTCACCCACTAGCGAATCTGCGGCCGTCGGATATGAGTCCCCGGGCGGCGCACTGGGTTTCGTATGGTGTGGTAGAGTGGTTGACCTGGCAGGGGTAATTGATTATCAGTCTGTATGCAATCCATATAACTGACACGGACTAGGTTAGGCGATGTGATCAATCGATGGCGAGTCACCATTGACTTGGAACCCATTCCTATGGCTGAGGGGCCCAGTCTGGCAGAGACCCTCAAGATTCCTTTCACCTACTGCTGGTCTCCAGCTCTGGTACCAAAGCCTAGGGACTGGGCTGAACATATCGGTTAGTACTCCATTGTGTCTACACGGAATATACTCATAGCAATAGATGTGTGCGGCTTCTTCTTCCGGCAAGCACCGTCGTACCAACCGCCGCCAGATCTCGAGCAATTCCTTGCTTCAGGGCCACCACCTGTGTATATCGGCTTTGGAAGCATTGTTGTGGACGATCCACAACGCTTGTCTAATACCGTGTTGCAGGCAGTGGCTGAGTCCGGTGTTCGTGCCATCGTGTCACGAGGTTGGAGCAAGTTGGCCGGAGACGGGAATCCAAACATCTACTTCATCGGCGACTGTCCCCACGAATGGCTCTTCCAGCACGTTTCGGCGGTTGTCCACCACGGAGGTGCTGGGACGACCGCCTGTGGACTTGTCAACGGGAAACCAACAGTTGTCGTACCTTTCTTTGGAGAGTAAGTTCGCGTTCTCCTTGAAACCGGGCGCGGGCTCACTATTTAGTCAACAATTCTGGGGCAACATGATATCACGGGCTGGAGCAGGTCCATCTCCCATTCCGCATGCTACACTTGGCGTTCAGAATCTGGCCGAGGCTATTCGATTCTGCCTCAAGCCACAGACCGTTGCTGCTGCGCGTGAAATCGCCGCCAAAATGCAGTATGAGTCCGGCGTTCCTGCCGCCGTACAGTCCTTCCATCGTCATCTTCCGCTGGAGCAGATGAGGTGCGAGGTATTCCCAGACCAGGTTTCTGTGTGGAAATACGCGAGGTACAAGCGGGAGATCCGATTATCGAGGAAAGCCGTGCAGATTCTCATCGACCACCTAAAGATTGATCCAAAGAATCTCCGCTGGTGAGTTTGCATTCTCCCGTTTACGTCGCGACACTGACGGGTCAGTTATGATATCAAACCGATCATTATTGAAAACCGCCGCTGGGATCCGCTCACCGGTGTCACCTCCGCAGCCCTAGGCACCGGCACTGACTTGCTCAAAAATACCACGAACATGTTCTACAAGCCATACAAAGAACTCACCCGTAATAGGACTGATCTTTCCGATGGCAAAGAACGTCACCCCGTCGCCACCGCGGGTGCCATGGCTGGTCAATTCGCGAAAAGCTTCGGACAGTTCATGGGATCGTACACCAGGGGTGCTATTGTGGATATCCCGCACGCGGCAGCGGAAGGCTTCAGGCAGGTCCCGCGCCTGTATGGCGAACAACCCAAGGAGTACGGCGCTGTGCAGGATTGGAAGTCCGGGGCTACGGTTGGGGGAAAGAACTTTGTGGATGGCATGATGGAGGGCTTATCGGGGCTGGTCACTCAGCCGATCAAAGGGGGCAAGGAGGAGGGAGCGCTGGGCGTTGTCAAGGGTTTTGCAAAGGGTACGGCGGGATTCATGACCAAGGTCCCTTCCGCTGGACTAGGGCTCGTCGCGTATCCATTTCAGGGTATTGTGAAGAGTATCGAGTCGTCGGTTAGGTCCAAGACGAGGAAGGCTATTATCACAGCGCGACTACGGGATGGGTATGAGTTGAGCCGACGGGAGGAAGTCTCGCAGGAAGAGAGACAATTTGTCTTGCAGAAGTTTCAGAGCCTTTTGCGCAATACAGATACTCTCCCCACCTAGGTTTGCGACTCGCTCAGGGGCTTCAAATTTGGCCTAAGGCACAAGCAGATATTAAGGCACCGACAAAGTCACATGACTCTGTGGGATGATTATGATGATTCCTGTGTTGGTGCCACGCGCAGGCACCAAGCGAAGGACGCATCAGGCTAAACAACAAAACAACATAGAGTTAAGGAATTACGAACCTTTTACTATTACTACTCATATAATATAGCCACTACTACAGACATAACATTTACTGCAGCTGGCACCTGATTACGCTTGGTGCACTGTGGCATCTCTTGTCTCACCTATCCTGACATGGTTCGCACGTCCTAGAAGTAGTTGTGCATTCATGTAAAGTTACCTTGCAGCTCGAGAAACAATTGCGCATTCGAGTCATGGTACATAGTCATGGAAGTCAATACCACGGTCGCCTCGCGCCTTGTCCCAATTGCTTCCGCGCCTAGGGCAACCTCTGCTGATGTGCAGAATGGCCCCGATACAAGCTTGACTACAATGCCCTTCAACTGCCAGGCCTGCGTGCGCAAAAAGGTTAAGTGCAATAGGGCTGTGCCAACATGCTCAAGCTGCAGCAAAGCAAAGCTCCAGTGCGTCTACCAGGCTCCCCTGCCGCGCAAGAGGAAGCGAAGCCAGGTCGAAGACGTGTATGGGCGTCTAGCACGGTACGAGCGTATCTTGCAGGAGAACAATCTTCTCCCTACGGAATCTACACCGACCTCATGCGGCAATGGGACGGAGACGTCGGCGGTCAGCACACGGGATCCAACCCCAGTGCAACCCGCTAGGTCTGGTACACTTCTTTCCGCCGATGGCAAGTCTCGCTATGTTGACAATGTTCTCCTCCTTGATGCCGGAGAAGGCGACTTGTGTGAATTATCTGATTCAGACCGAGATGACTTCCAGCATGACGACACCGGAGCTGATCAGAGTACCCCAACTGGTCTTCTAGGCGTCCTCGCAGCACATACAGTTTTTGGGGCAATACTTGGCAGCACCCAGAGCCTCGCTAACCAACATCCCAGTTATGAGGAGGCTACAAAGCTCTGGAATACGTACGTGCAAAATGTCGAGCCTCTTTGCAAGGTTCTTCATGTTCCTACCGTCGCAAAGATGGTCGACACAGTCTCACAACAACCTGCTGCGGCCTCGAAGAGTGACAACTGCCTGCTTTTTGCCATCTACTATTTCGCCGTGTTCTCCATGTCAGATGCCGACTGTCTGCTAGAGTTCAACCAAACGAGGAAGCATTTGATGTCGAGATATCGCACGGCTGTTTGTCAGGCACTTGTCAGCGCGTCGTGGCTGAAGACTACAGCGCTGCCAGTACTACAGGCTTACAGTCTCTTCCTCATTGCCATGCGCGCTCAAATTGATTCTCACACGTTTTGGATATTGACAGGCATTGCGATTCGTCTCGCACAACGCATGGGGCTCCACCGTGATGGTGAAAGCCTGGGATTGCCACCATTTGAGTCCCAGATGCGACGGCGGCTCTTTTGGCAACTACTTCCACTGGACGGCTATGCAGGCCAAGTTTGCGGCACTGGGATCTCCATATCGCCGAATAGCTGGGATACCAAGCCACCATTGAACATTAACGATGACCAGATTTCCCCTGGTATGACGCAGCAGCCTCAAGAGCAAAGGGGCGCTTCGGAAATGATCTTCTGCTTGTCACGGATTGAGCTGTCCAACTTTTATACCCGAACTGGTGTTAAAATGAAGGAAACTGGTGGTACGATTCAGTTCAGAGATGCAGAGGAAACTGAAAGGCTCATCGACGAGGTCGAAGATCTCATCGAGACAAGGTTTCTTCGATACTGCGATATCCTCAATCCCTTGCACGTTTTCACCATGGGCATTGTGCGATCTGCCGCCAACGCCGTCCGACTGCGTGCTCGAATGCCACTGCTGCTGAAGCATACCATTACCGACGCGCAAAGGAGAGGCCTCTGCACTCTCGCAGAAAAGATCCTCGATACAAACAGCGCCATCTACGGCAACCCCAGCATGAAGAAGTTCCTGTGGCAGATGCAAGCCTTCTTCTTGTGGGATGCCCTTCTCTGTATCCTGCTTAGCCTGTCGGAAGTTGGATTCTACTCGACGTCGGAGCTGAACACTACCTGGAACAAGGTTGCAGAAGTCTATGCGAATCACGAAGAACTTGTCAAGCGCAAGAGAACCCTGCACGTCACCATTGGGAGGCAAACTCTCAAGGCCTGGATTGCCAATCCTCCGAGTAATTCGTCCCCAGAACCGGCTTTCATAACCGCGCTGCGCGCCCAACATGAACCGAAAGTCAACAGGCAGCAGGGGAGAGTTGATGAAATGGGCGGAACCGACAAGGGTGCGGACGGTGTGTTTGCTTTTAATGAGCTTTTTGCCGACATTGATGGAACGGGCTTGAATCTGAATACCGGCTTCGCTCTCGATTCTTCAGATTGGGTGATTTGGGACCAACTGTGCCGAGGGACTAGTCTGGGCTAAGCGGGCGGCCTCCGTGACAAATGTCTGGGTGGACTTAGATAACACGATGCAGTAAGACAGCACATTTACAATTACCAGTTCATAATGGGAGAGTTGCTGACCATCATCCGACTCAACAGACAATACAAGGGGATAGTATCAGTCCTGTTCCCATTATAGGAACGGATCTATCAGGCCTCGCTATTGGACGACTAATAAGGAACAATGCCATTGGTGGCATGGTCTTCGAGCCGTCTTCGAGCCGTCTTCTGGACCCTTCTCCTGTCGGTTACAGTCCAGGAACACAAGGTCCAGCTGTACAGAGTACCTATATGCTGTTTCGATAGTCGGCCCCGGCCCCGAAGAATGGCCCCTCTCATTGGACAGCGCATCGGTCCTTCACGGGCGATCCGGGCCCGAGCGAAATACGCCCCGGTTATTGGCTGCTTGATACATATGAGATAAGTATAAGGAGTATAAGAAGTCAGTCAGGCATCCCAGCACTAAGAATCAGTCGATGGTTCCATCCAATATGAGCGATAAGACTCTATTTGCCTCCGACGAGGGGATCACGCCACTCCCTGAGAAGGGAGACCTCGAATCAGCCAAAGCAACAACTGCCAACGCCGAAGCCGACAAAGACCCAGATCTCGTCATGTGGAGCGGGCCAAATGACCCAGAGAACCCCAAAAATTGGCCCAACAGCTTGAAGTGGAAGAACACCTGGGCCATCTCCCTCTTCGTCTTCATCTCGCCTGTCTCGTCGTCCATGATTGCCCCGGCGATGCAAGATCTAGGCAAGACACTGGGGATGCGCACCGACATTGAGGTGTACCTCTCCATGGCCATTTTCATCCTCGCCTACGCCATCGGCCCCATCTTCTTTGGTCCTGCTTCTGAGCTCTACGGCCGTGTGCGCCTGCTTCAGGTCAGCAATGCGTGGTACCTAGCCTGGAATATGGGATGCGGTTTTGCCAAAACTAAGGCTCAGCTGTTTGCCTTTCGCTTCCTTGCGGGCATTGGTGGCAGCGCGCCATTGGCAATTGGAGGAGGCGCCATCGGGTAAGACGACACCGCAACTACCGAATTCTTCCTTTGCTAACCTTCTTGCAGTGACATGTGGAGCGCCGAAGAGCGTGGCAAGGCCATGGGTGTCTACACTCTTGGGCCGCTCCTTGGGCCCGTCATCGGACCCATTGCCGGCGGCTTCATTGCCCAGTACTCAACATGGCGCTGGGTCTTCTGGGTAACCTCCGCCGCCGCCGTCGGAGTCCAGGTTGTCGGATTCATCTGGCTACGTGAGTGCCACCCCGCGACGCTCTTACGCAGGCGACGCGACCGCCTCGTCAACGAGACGGGCAACGAGAATCTGCGTGCCGAAGAGAAGGTAGAGACACTCACCTACAGGCTTCTCCATGCGTTTGAGCGGCCGGTGCGCCTGTTCACAACGCAGCCCATCATCTTCTGCATGGCCATCTACATGGCCTACCTCTTTGGAATAACGTACCTCATGCTCGCAACGTTTCCCGAGATCTGGACCGCGGTCTACCACGAGAGCTCCAGTATCGGCGGACTCAACTACCTCTCCATCGCCATCGGGTCATTCGCCGGTCTCTTCTTCAACCTCAAGCTGGTCGACCGCATCTACAAGGCGCTCAAAGCGCGGAACAACAACATCGGCAAGCCCGAGTTCCGCATGCCCTCGTTAGCCGTCGGCTCCGTCCTCAGCACCATCGGCCTCTTCTGGTACGGCTGGAGCATCGGGAACACGCATTGGATCATGCCCAACATCGGTGCTCTGATCTACACTGCAGGCACGATTTCCTGTCTGCAGGGCTTGCAGACGTACATCGTCGACAGCTACCAAACCTATGCTGCCAGCGCCATGGCGGCCTGCGCGATTCTTCGCAGTCTCGCGGGCTTTGGGTTTCCGCTCTTCGCGCCGTACATGTACCAGTCTCTGGGCTATGGATGGGGGACTAGCGTGTTGGCATTCGTCACCCTGGCTATTGGCTGGGTGGCACCTTTTGCGTTTTGGCGGTTTGGACCCAGGCTGCGTGCCATTTCCCGGTACGCTGCTGGCTAGAGTAGACTGGATGCAACTGTTGGGAGTGGCCAAGACTAGTTGATTTGTAACCAGAAATCTGGCTTTTTGAAGTCTGCCTGCCTATGGAAGAAGTAATAATTGCGACTTGATGTATTTAATAAGATACCATGGACGATTCCTCTCATTCACAGGGCTCATGATGTAGACGGGCCAATCCGACCATACAATGAATCAGGGTGCAGACTCATCCTTATCTTTTAATAGTGTGTTTGGAGACTGGGTCGCAGTACCTTTGCCGATCTGATACCCGGCACCTCTGTCTACTGATGTCTATGTAAGACTCTCATCCATGCCGTTCCCACCTAAATACCATTTCTGCCAAATCGTACGAGCTGGGATTCCATACTGAATACCGTTGTCTTCTCATTGTGGTCAGCGCGTAGGATGTAATGCCCACAACATCTGTCCTTGGGACGCCACATGTGGCCAAGCAGCATTGCTTCTGATCGCATTAGATGCTGACTGTAGGGCATACTATAATGTTATGGTTACACCCCATACAACTCTGTTCGCTAACTTCATTCATCGTCCGGTCAAACCTGGGACACGGGAAACTGGCCTACCACGTGGGACTTGGAGTCGTGACCTTAGTTTGTTGGGCCGTGACGTCTCTCTATGCCGGAGAGTTTAGAAGGTAATAGATGATATGCCACTATGTCATATCAGTAGCCAAGTTGTTGCCTAGACAAAACAAGGCATTCAGACGAGACACTTCAATCATCTTCAATCACCTCAATCACCTCAATCATCGGCATGCAGGATCAACATGCTCGAATGGTCAGATATGATTGGCCAGTGCAGGTACACACAACAGAGAGTGAACCAATCATATTACAGAATGAAAAGAGTGCTCACATCTACACGTTTTGATTGGCCGAATCACAAACTCACCAAGATGGAGAAAGCCAAGTGAAGCCATTAAAGCTTAGCGGGCCCACTTCAGTTATATACCTTCCTGTTCCTGTTGCGCTGTACATTAATAATGAGATAGAAAGTTCGAAACCGTGATAACGGCTGCACCAATCTCGGGTTTAATTTTAGCAGTGCTACCCTCGAGGAATGTTAGAGATGAATAAAGCAATAGACATGCCGATCTCAATGTAAAAACACCTGGACAAGCCCACCCCTTGGACAAACACCCGGAAATCGGCATCAACTGCAAGATCCAACGGTATTACTGGCCATGAGGGGAGATATCGCTTACTGGTAGACATATCTGATATGGCGTGCTAATATTGTGGCTGCATATTTTTCTGCCTGTAGGATTTGTCGATCAGCGCATGTGCTCCCAAGTGTCACTCTTCATTTGTCCATCCAGCATAACATATTGACAGCAGCAGGTTGTGGTATCAGCAGAGTAATAAAGATACTTGCATTAATATAAAAGACGTTCAAACTGCTCAACGGGCGAAGAATGAGCAAGAACTAGCTTCCATCATCATGAAGGCCAACACTTTGGTGCCCTTGCTCGGTCTCTCCAGCAGCGCTGCGGCTGCGGCCGTGGCTGCGTCCAGCAACACCCCCTTTGGGTACGCCTCTGGCTCCAAGGAGTCCATTGCCAATCTGAAGGACAAGATCGAGAATGTTGTGTGGATTCTGCTGGAGAACCGCAGTTTTGACAACATCCTTGGTGGTGTCAAGCGCAAGGGTCTGGACAACGTTGTCAACAACGGTCCCTTCTGCAACCCCCAGAATGTGAGCGATCCCAGCAGCACCAAGTGGTGCAGCGTGTACAAGGACTTTGACTCGGTCAAACACGACCCTGATCACTCGGTCACCGGTTACAACATGGAGTTGTACGGCACGTACACTCCCAGCAACGATGCCATCGCCAACGGCACCCTAAAGCCCAGCGTGAACGGCTTTGTGGAGCAGCAGCTGGTGCACCACAAGGGCCTTGATCCCAAGGTGGCCGATGAGGAGGTCATGGGCTACTACTCCGAGGACGAGATCCCCACTCTGGTCAACCTGGTTGACGAGTTCACCACCTTCAACTACTGGCACTCATGTGTCCCTGGTGTAAGTCACTTACGCTACTAAGAGTACACGTACACAATACTAATGAGAATAGCCCACCAACCCTAACCGCCTGTGCGCCCTCTCCGGTACCTCTGACGGCCACGGCACCAACGACAACAGCTTCGACGTCTCGGGCGTCGACATCTCCAGTATCTTCCAGGTTGCCAGCGAGAAGAGCATCACCTGGAAGAACTACGACGGCACCAACGGCGCCTTCCTTTCTGACGCTCTCTTCTTCAACTGGACCACCCAAAACGCCAAGCAGAACGTCGTCCCTCTGGAGAACTTCTACCAGGACGCCTACCTCGGCCTCCTGCCCCAGCTCTCCTACATCAACCCCTCCTGCTGCGACCTGGACACCAACTCCATGCATCCCTCCGGCAACGTCTCCTTCGGCCAGGTCCTCGTCAAGCAGATCTATGATGCCGTCCGCACTGGGCCCCAGTGGGACAAGACCCTCCTGCTCGTCACCTTCGACGAGACCGGCGGTTTCTACGACCACGTCCAGCCCCCTCTGGCTGTCCGCCCAGACAGCAAGACCTACACCGAGACCGCCGCCGACGGCAGCTCGTACACCTTTAACTTTGACCGTCTGGGCGGCCGTTTGCCTACCTGGCTTGTCTCGCCGTACACGCCCAAGGGACACATCGAGAACTACGGTGTCGACCCTGCCACTGGCAAGTCGGCCTCGTACAGTGCCACCTCCGTGCTCAAGACGCTGGGATATCTCTGGGATCTGAAGGACTTTACTCCCCGTGTTTCTCACTCTCCTGCTTTCGACCACCTGATTGGTCCCGAGAAGCGCAATGCTCCTGCCACGTTGGCTAACCCCATCCTTTCCCTGATGCTGTATAGGTGTCATTGCCAAACTTACCCCAAATCAAGGAGATGTCTTAAGACAAGATCTAAAGCATTCCATATTGCCCTTTGCCTTCTTGTATACGATGTTTTCATCCTGGTGTTATAAAATATGACCCTCACCTACTGAGGGAATTGATGTTCGATGTTGTACGACTTTGATTTTCTGAACCACGAATAACCCCTACATGTGATGGCTGAATTAGTGCTCTGCCCTTTTTGCATTGGGAGGTTTCTGTCCAGTAACTACATGGAAGTAAGAATAGGAGACTGGAGACGCAGGTTCTCCTGCTGCAGCGGGCTAGGAATGCATCTGTATCTTCTTTCGACCAGCCTATGTACGAGTGAACCGTCGCATAGAGCACCTCTAGACTTTTCAACAGCTGGTATGAGGAGGACTTTCCAACTCTCTTCCATCTGGGCTCCTCGCTCAACTCCCCCCAGTGGCACCTACAACGCTTAGAGTACCGCTCTTATACATTACAGATGGGACGGTGAATGAGACTACCTTGAATACTTGGTCTTTACCTCCACAACCCAGCACCCTCCATGCACTCCCTCTGCTTTCCGGCAAGATTAATCCTCTCCCCGAACTTCTCTGCCGCTTTCTCCAACAGCTCATGTCACTGCCGTACTGCACCTGGAACGCCGCTGTCACCATGATCGGAGCAAAGCCGAGTATCATGTGCCTGGCATAGTGTATAATGCCTAGTTCATCTCCGTGGTAATCCCCTGACGACTGTCTGGATCCGCGGGCTTGCCTAGTACCTCGCTCCTCAGCCTGGGTTCTATAGTGCATCTGATCCTATTTCTAGTGCTGGTGTTGATGTTCTTTCGATGGCAGTATAGAAGCACTGGGCCATTAAATACGCCCGTCACCTGAGTAGATCTAGCAACCGAGATAACATTTGACTATGGTGCAGCAGAAATATATCTTGTGAAGGAAAACAGCTTCCATGAGCATAGTGATTCATTCTTAACTATTATTTTAACATGGCAGTAGGTGAGCTGCCTGAATAAAAAACTCCTAGATAAAAGGTGTCTAGTCAGTCAATTCTAGCCTGTTGTTATTTCTGTCTGTTCTATATTCCAGCATGGATGTTCAATATGTCAGCATAATAGATCCTCTTCTCTTATAAAACTCTATAATGAAAAGGTTATCAACAAATGGGCTTGTGGTTTAGTGGTATAATACCCCTTAGCATGGGGGTGGTCCGGGGTTCGATTCCCCGCGAGTCCATTTTTTGTCTATTTTTCATGACCTGCAAATGCATTTTTTTGCCTGCCTTGCAACCAGCTTTCCTCGATATTTCGATGTTTCCCGTACTCTAAAGAACTGTCTTATTGGTATTTGCAATGCCCATTGGCTCAAGTAAATTGCTATACGCCTTGAGAGCTCAGCAGAAGATTACATGCCGTTTTCAATACCATTTGCTCGGTCCATATCACTGTTCTTTCCCAACCTAGAGAGAGTTTACAACGGCCTCGTCTTGCAACAGCAGAGATAGTGGTATATAACCCCTTGCTGCTTTCCCCCGGTAATCCACTTGCTGTCATTTCCTGTTTGACCTGCGCGGCGAGCTTTTGAATCCTAACGTAATGCTATTCACGTTTAACTCCTCCAGAAGCCTCTCCAACCTGCTTGGGCCCTTTATATTCTCCTTTACGCCAGGTTAATTAGGGCCAGTGTATCACACAGGGTACACTCACCGATGCAGGTCGCGCTGACCGATTGCCTCGTTTGTTTGCCAATGGTGACGGGCTTGTCCTGGAATGTCCCTGCCCTACGGCCTGCCGGAAACTGCTTGGAGTCGAGGGGTTGGACGTACGTTGATGCTTTCGCAGTCGTCTCCTGATGTCACTCAATGTCTGTTCCGTACTTATGCAAAGCCCAATACTGAATGGTGTCTAGCATGCGTCGGAGTTGCAGCGCATTCCAGAGCACATCTAATCGCCCTTTCCAGATGCATCTCATTCGCTAGATGGATGGCCCCGTCAGCCACGAAAGGAGGTCTTTGATTAATGGGCTTCGAGAAGAATTGAACCAGACTTACATATAGAATGATTGGCTCACCGTCATCGTCGTCGTCGTCGTCATTGAGTGGCTCCGCATAGGTCAGAAACACTCTGGCATCTCGTCCAACGAATGTCATGGCAACCACTGGATGATGGTAATCATGCGCTGGGCTATCTGATAGTCCCCGAAGCAATGCGACGCAGGCGGAGCTACCGTTTGCCACTTGGTTATAACATTCCTCGGTGTCCTGTGGGGATGCGCCAGGCTTTTTTACTTCAACCACCGCCCATGGGTAACAGGTCAGCTTATAATCTTCAAAATTTCTGCGGGAGGTCCCTGTTTCAATGTCAGATGCATCAGTTCCATCTGTGTCTCCACCTTCGGCAACATCCACATCCGACTTTTTGTACTTGTATCCACGGCTGGGTGCGAGTTCTTCGTAAGTCTCAGAATCAAGATCTTCGTCGTCCTCCAGGCTGCCGTCACTGCCATCATTACTGTCATCTTCTTCTTCGCTCCCTGGCTCGTAGTCCTCGTCTTCTGTCGTGGTATACTCGTACTCGTCAAGTTCATTGGAATCGCTGTCTTCGAATCCCGTGACTATACTATGAACCTCGTCTTCACTGCCTGGTTTTCGTCGCTGGACTTTCGCCAGCCGTGGAGTCTTTTGAATGTCCGCGCAATACTTATTCAGCGACATCAGGGGACACGAATGCAATGCCTCAGTCTCTTCCAAGAGGTTCAGGTTTGCCAATGAGAATGCCACATGAGACTGTCCTTTGTCCGTCTTCCGGGGGAGCGGATGTCATTGTGTATGTGAAATCCAAAATACCAGTCCGGTTTGGGAACTGATAGCATCTCGCTCTCGTGTAATGGCTTCACCGTACGGTAGAGGAAATCGTGAGTATATAGACGTGTTATGGCGGAACGGTTCTCTTACCTTGGCGACGGAGCATTGACTGTGCCAGTAATTGCGAACATGCCATGCCTGGCTGAAGGACTCTGTGTCTTGGCCGCTGAAGGAAACCGAGTAACGTCAGTTGACTGTACCTGGTAGGTAAATGAGTGGGTGGCTTACAACGTGGTCGCGAATTCACCACCAAACCGACTATAAGCCGAGCTGATTGAACTGGGCAGAATGGTTTGTCTCATCAGCAGCCTCCTGCATAGTAGTTCTTGGGAAACAAAATGTGTACGTTTCATCTGCATGCTTCTTCCATTCCTGGAATACATAGTCGGCGAGCTTGGTTCCTAGTTTGCGCTCGTGCATGCCACCCTTGTACTTCCAGTCCACTGCATATTCGTACTGGGAAAATAAATTAGCACTTTTCTTTCTGGTGGCTGGGGAATATTCTCCGCACAAGAGTATACGCTGTTGTCAGATTTTCCAGATGCCTGTTTTTCGCCTCATTTTGTCCAGGGAGACACTCTCTATTACATGCCATTTCTCCCTTGAACCACCTATCTCGCTTCGCCTGCGGCAGTTGCTTGTACAGCTTGGTCAAAATATGAGGTTCGAGGCTCTCCCGCGCGACCTTGTCGTGCGTACAGAGTCAGCGTTTCAACAAAGAATCACCTCGTGGAAAACGTATCACTCTACCTCTTTTGGTGGAATGATACAGTCAAACGAGAGGATCCGATCTTTGACTTGTGCAATCTCCTTTGGCCAGCCGTCCTCGCTGATATCCATCTCGATAATAATGCCATTGCGTCGAAGAGTCTCAGGGCTGAGCTTTTTCGTAGCTGGGGCCATGGGATTTGTTTCAATGGTCAGTGAAGGATAGCGCGCGTAGGGAAAAGATTATGATAATTAGAGAATATTCTCGAGATTCCATGGAGGAGTCCTCTCATTTTAACCTCTGACTTGGTGCTGGCGCGTTGACTCGTGTTGAAATTGCGGCGCAGGCTAATCCCTGTCAATGCCATGAAATGCTACCACCGTGCTATACTGACTAAATAGGCGTGTCGTGGAGATGCCTTATTCAGTAGCTGCTCTCGGACTACTGCGGAGGAAATGCCATTTTAGCGAGAGGCTTGTGCTCTCTCTGTGCTCTAATTCAGGTACGCACGGGAGAACTGCATTAGCCCGAGTCAAGTCATCAGGGGGGCTTTACTCACTGACTGTTTAGGAGGCAAAGCTTCGGACCAGTCGTATGTCCAACGGTATCCGATGCTAGGCCGGATTCAAGACTCCGAATCGTACGAAAAGGCCATGCTTTCTGGGATTCTTAGGATAGGTTTTGGAGGCAAGAAGGTCTATTGGACCTTACAATGAATTTTCCGTAATCCCTCTGTGCTTCTCTTTTGTTTCATATTGTAGGAATATATTTCCTAGAGATTGACACGACAAGAGAAATCGATGCCGCGTCTATTTGTATCAGACATGGTTCTTGACTTCGCCGAGATTCGTCTCGATGGAGCCGAGTCAATCATCTGGACAGGGCTCATTTCATCCTTTAGTCATCATTCAGCTTCTACATGCTCAGTATTAAGTCGCTCTGCCTCATCAGACACTGATAATCTAATAAACACAGGCTCAAGAATAAGACATTATCTCAGAGTATAAACGATGTACTACCCTCATCCCGAACGGCACAGACAAGGCCGCACCTCAAAACTGCGGACATTGTGCAACGTAATTCCTTCACCGAGCCCTTTGCTGATCTCTTTGATCCGCTTGTACAAGTCTTCATGGCCAGAATGCTCACCAGTCCCCTCCTCAAAGCTTCCACGGCCGTCCTTCCAGGTATAGAATAAGGACCCTCCCGGCCGGGCCTGGACCTCCCACCGCCGCTGGACCTTCGCCCCTGCATACTCCAACCGCAGATCCCGCGGTGCGTCGAGGACGACATACATCACTGCTGGATAATAGGGCCACTCGAACATCTCATGCAGCACAGCGGGGTTTCTATAAATCTGTGCCTCAGGAACAGCAATGGCCCCCAGCTCGAGAGCATAAGTGCTGACACACTGGCCAGTCCATTCAGGTGTAAACATCTGATCATACGGCTCGCAGAGGAAGCCGTCCCATTGATCCAGCGGGACGTATAGCACGTCGTGCTTTGAGTTGAACGGGCGCGAAAAGATAAGAGACGGTTGGTTGGGGGAGAAACGGAGTGAGATTCCCTGCTCGTGGCACCAGGCTAGAGCGATCCTGCGGGCTTCGCGATTGACGAAGAACAGTGGAACATTGACTTCTACGTGGTCGAGTAGTTCAGGATCAAAGTAGAAGTGCGGATGGGATGGATCGGTGGGGTCGTACCCCTGCTCGGTTTCAGAGAGGCGTCCCCGGCGCCAGCATCCTCTTCTGAAGAAGACTAGGGCTGGGCTGTCTTTTTCGTGGAGGGTGCTGTGCCAGATTTGAATGCGTAGCTCCGCGGGGAGGCTGGGGAAGCGAGGAAATGCGGGGGAAGATGTTCCCGTTGCCGCCATGTTCTCTGACATGTTGCTTATATTTGATGTCTTCTGGGGAATTTTCAAACTGCTGTATTTGATTCTTGTTGTGGGGGTAAGCCATAGTTAATGTAATAACTTGGCTGACAAAAAATGCTTCGCCTCATTGCTTGTTCACAGCCTCAGTATACGTTGTCGAATCACAAGGCTCACATAGTGGGCCGTTCACATAATATTCCTGAGCACCCAACTAGCAAATTATTGCAATTGACACTATATACCCTGGCGGAAATAGGACCACGAACACCCTTGGTGTCTTTATTCTTTTCTGTCAAGAGACAAACGTGCAGGCCGACAGAATGCACCTCTTATTTATTGTGAACTATACAAGAACAGCTGAAGTATAAACAATTCAGGCGGAGTCAAGGCCAAACGCCCGCAGCGTCGCTTCCACTGTCCCAGCCAGCATAATGGGCAACTTTCCGTGCGGAGGAAAAGCATCAATCCGAATTGAACATCATACAATAGCCGTATTATCAATTGATTGCCCCCGTCTCACCAATCGAGCACATTGTCTTTGTGGGGGTTATGGCTGCCCCAAGGTTCTGAACCACATATCGACCCACTGTGTGGATCTCTCCGTCTCTAAAGAGGGACAACCCACCGAGCATGATGTGCCAACACGGCTCAGCCCGTATATCCGGATTTTCGGCTTTGGTAAGGAAATATGGCCAGCACTGGATGATGGTTCATGATAGCTAGGGCGAAGAATGTACCATCCACACGATCTACCGATGTTCAACTATGTATGAGTTTGATTTCAGAATAATGACCTCATCTCATTGGATGTATGCAAGGTAGCTTCGACCAGAAACTACAGTTGTCAGTACTCATTATTCTACGGCTCAAAAGAAGAATGAACTATACAGTGGTCTTGAACTTAGATTTGATTGTGTAGCCCAACGATCATGATAGCTCCCAGAGGCAGATCGAACGAGATCAGTAAGGTTGCGACAATATATCCATTTATCCACTTAAAGCAAGCTGAGACGAATCCCACCAATGTGTCCAGCTCTGGAACTCACCTAGTGCAGATACCTATAGTCAATCAAAACCATCCCTTCGACGAACTGTTCCCATCTGATCATGTCCTTGTCATAGTCCCAGTTCTCGATCTGCTGCGTGATGCACTGCACAGCAGCATCGGTCAGTCCCTTGAGTGTATTATCTTCGGTGATGATCTCGAAAATTAGATCGCCTACCTGCGTGTCGGGGAAGGACTCCCGGCGGGGGGAGAAGTTGCCCCGGCCGGCTTGCAGGACCTTCAGCACTTCTCTGAGCATGGTTAGAGCAGGGAGGTCTGGGTCATCGGGGCGAATCAGAAGGAAACTCCTGTAGGTGCGGGCCTCGTGGAGTTGGAACTTGGGTTGCTTTGGCATTGTGAGTGAGATAATTCGGCGTCTGCTTGTAGTGTTTATAGTGTTAGTAGGTGGAAGTTGGGTTGTTTAGATTGCTGTAGTGGTGGAATTGCAGAGAGTGAGTAGGAGTGTAAGAGAGCTGAGGAAGAAGAAGATGATGATGATGACAATGGTGCTAATGATAGACTTCGAGAGATATTTATAATGCGGTTTGAGACATATCTCGAGGCATAGAGCTGTTATTTTAAACATACAACAATGGATTTATTCATATGTTTTAGACATTTTCATTATTATGACATTGTTAGCCATAATCCTTTCACCCTTTGAACCCGTCAACAGCCGAGGAACAAAGGATTGTCTCAAGTGATGGAACATAGGACCACGATTCTCTGACCCCCCATTGCCCTGACAAAGACATGCCAACCGGTTCAATGCCACGTTCAAGAGTTCTCGGCTTGCCGATTCAAAGAGATGTTTCAAGCCTTACAGCCAGTCAAAGAGCCCCTTTTTGGATAGAGGAGCTCTCGTCCTCAGTTGAACGTAGTATCGAGTCTAGGACACTGTTCGCTTTCTCCCGTAGACAGGTTGTCATGAAACCTCTGTCACGTCCCAGTTCTCCTTCAGTACTACTTGTGGTCCTTTATGTGAGCTCAAGATGTAATGATGATAAGCTACTCAAAGGAGATTTTCTCTGGAATGTGGAATGTGGCGTAGGTTTCCCCGATGGCATATTCGGCATAGCTGCCATGCGGAGAGCTTTCCGAAAAGGGAAATGTAACCCGCCAAGACGTGCTCCGCTCCGCCACATGGCGTTGGATATACCCATCTTAGCGGCGCTTGTTACTAATCTCTACAAATACATTGCGAACTATCCATGACTAGCTCACCTCAACGCGGAGCGGTGAGGGTGAGCCTACGCACGGATATGATGTACTGGAAAAACTACCCGATCGGATTGTTTATTGCGAAAAAGTCTCCGGCTTGAGGGTTCATATGCCAAATTCCGATGGCCATTGCTGATCACCCGCTGCCGACGGGACCTAGATCCTTCATAATGCCATGCTTCCAGCCCAAAGGTATGGTTAGTAACTTAATTAAGCTTTAAATAAATTATTCATAATACTTGATTCTTTTCCCAGTTTATAGGGTGCATAAGCGTATTAACTAGGGTTCTTGCGGCTTGGCGTTGTTGTAACGGTGCCTAGGAAATGAGTCTTGTAGTCTGCATATGCAGTAGTGCCATATCATATTTGAGTAAAAATCTCTAGAATCTTCATAAGCTACTAAGTTCAGCTATCGAAGCAATCTGGTAATCGCTTTGGTGCTCCCTCAAGAAGGCTACCACGAGGCAAGCCGGTAATAGTATCCAGGCCTTGTCCTAAAAGGATAGTTATCATGAGACAACCGGTATGAGTCAGCAATAGGGCTTTTAAGAGTGACGACTGTCTTCACCGTAGCACACGTGTGCCTGCCTGTTTACATGTTAGTCGAACAGGTTGTATGGGCCCTTTCTAGAACTAGCTGGTCTTAGGGTAGTACTTTCAAACACCTATAACCGCGGACAACTATCACATCCCTGTCTCAAGCAATCTCTACCATCTTCTGGTGTGTGGTAGCCGATGGTGACGAATTGCCACAACTGCCTGGTTACTAAAGGCACGCACAGTTGAGCATGAAGGGCAGCAGCAAAAGACCCTAAAAAGAATAGTAGCATCTAAGCTGTTCTTTCATCCTGCAGTAATTCCTTGTCCAGGCTGATGATATAGAGAATTAATTTATCATTCAATATTTACAATCAAGTATTTCAGTATGAAACTATAAGTACAGGATTAGGCTTCCGACTTGAGCAAGCCAGCGCAATCTTCAGCTGTTAGCTTGCATTGTGAAGGCCTTGAGGGGGCTTCGGAATGGCACAGACTCACGTCATACATGTTTTGACTTTCCAGCTAGGCTACGGAAGTCATACCGCTACACGGCCCAGCCCGCAAGACTAAACTATTTTAGGTACCGATATTTTGTAGTACTGTAGACGGAACCGACGTCACTCTGCCGGTCTCCTTTCAATAACTGTCCTTCATTAGAACAGGTCTCCCGGACCATGTCCTTTGATTACTGCCCTTCAATAGAACCGTCCCAAATCTCACCTTTCGCATTATGGCTTCATCAGAGCCGCACAAGATTTTCCTGATAACCGAGATCCTGGAACTGATCCTGCTCGAAACTGACACGCGCACTTTACTCACGTCCGCTCAAAGGGTCTGCCGCAAATGGCACTTCCTGGTCCAGGACTCGCACGACTTACAGGCCGCCCTGTTTTTCAAGCCCGTCAGGTATACCCTGCCACGCGGGACGGCGGGCATTCGCAACCCGTTACTAGAGGAATGTATATGGCCATGGTTTTGCGCAAGACAAGCAAGCGATACGAGCCCACCGCCAGTAGAAGGAGGAGCGAAGATACCCGAGGTCGATCCTCAGAGCGACCGACTTTTTCTCCGGAAAGGGGCAAGTTGGAAACGAATGCTATTTCAGCAACCTCCTCGATCGTGTATTGGACTCGTGGAGAAAGATGGAAAGGCTGTTAATGGCCCGGCATATACCGAAGTGGAAGTTCAACCGAGGGGAGACTATTTACGAATACGTGACGTGGTCCTCCCTTGTGTAAATACTATCTTTGCTGAAATTCACCCTCTGCCAGAGGAAGGACTACTCTGGTTCGGAGGCATTCGAAGAGAGGAACGGTGGAAGGTTCCTTCACCTTTGTGCTTAGAATATCCAGCAGATAATCAGAAGTATGGAGAAATTCCGAGGAGCCAGATACCATACGCTGCCTCAATATATCTGCGAGACTGTGATATTGTGTTTTTCATTCTGGAATGCGGGCGCATTCGAGGGCAGTGGGTTAGCAACTATGGTGCTATCGGGTTGAATTATTGGCTCTGTCGTCTTGGGATGAGGCTTGTGCCTGGGCAGACTTCTATTCCGATGCCGGTGACCTAGCTTTCTGAGGACTCCAAGAAGGAAGGAAGAGGCTAAACAAGATGTTGTCTGAAAACTAAAGTAATACCAGCGACAGCTGGCCTATAGCTAACAATGCCAAAAAGGAATGAAGAGGCTAAACAGGATGTTGATTGAAAACCAAAGTAATACCAGCAACAGCTGGTCATAGCTAACGATGCCACACGTCCCTATCAGTCTGCCATAGGAGCATCCTCACCGGCCGAGCTACTAAATTGACGGTGGTGGGAGGTAGGCTCACGGGTATGAGTCGGGCTTTGACGTGACGCGAGGTACATGATCCTAAGGAGCAGGCGAACTATGTCCCTGTTCTCCTCGTCGGTGTATCCCCAGGTCAGGGCCTTGGAACACCACTTTCAGATGTCAGAACAAGCAAAAGCAATATACTATGAAGTGTCTCCTAACTCACCTTGCTCCTCTGGTTGATACGGTAGAAGTTGAAGGTCTCGCTATCCGTAGCGATCCCGTAGACTGTTGTATCCGCCTTCCCCCGCTCTATACGGCCGGTGTGAACGAGGCCTAAAAGCTTCATTAGCAAAGCTTCCACTGTGATACAACGGACGTACCCATATATCCCAGTAACTGCCGTTCACCCTTCCCCAGCTCTTCCCGGGTCTTCGCTTCCACAATAACCAGGTTGGTCTCGAGGTTCGCCTGCGCTCCATACCACAGTGCATAGTCCGGCCGACCACGCAGCAACCTCTGCCGGAACCTTATGTAGACCGTTTTCCAGAATGGGGTTTCGTAACCCCACGAGACCGAATTTCCTATGATCTTACCATCTTGCTTAGCGAACCCCAGCACCAAGCCGAGAATGACGTCGAGCCGTGCGCGTACTAGCGCTTCAGCCTTTGTGGAGCCCTCATGGGCCAGTTCGAGGTAGTCAAGGGCCTTGTCTGGTTTGGTGAATGAGTAAACATCCTGTTTCTAAGAGAAGAGGGCATTTACTGAGGAATATAAAAAACTCCGAAAAGTCATCGGGATATTGGATGTCGATCACGTCGTCGTAAGGCTCTAAATCCCACTTATCACCTGGTTGCTCGTTCTTCGGAGTCAACTTCTTAATACGGAAAATACTCTTGACCTCCTTCAGCGTCAGGTCGCTTATAGCTACTCCAGGTAGCTTGCTGTCGCGCGCAGCCGCCTTCTTGACCTCCTCAAACGTTTCTTTGATCTCGTCAACCTCCGCTTTCGAGACGTTGCTTGTCGCCGAAAGCCACTTCAGGGCTACTTCGATAAGGCCGAGAGCATGCTTGCGGAAAAGCTTCTTGGAAGCCATGATGCTGGTATTGTGAGACAGGTTGGGGAAGGTCTTTGTTTGTTTCAAGTGCCCTTGTCAAAGATGAGAAGTGGAGAGTGGAAATGAAGAGAAAGATGGAGAGATATCACAGGGAAGTAAAGAAACATTTCAGTGACAATAATAAGAAAGAGCCGGAAAGAATCAAGGAGCGGGAAAGAAGGAAGGAGCACCCATATACAACGATTATATGCATGCAGCAGAAGGCACATCGTAGGCATTGTTTAATCTAGTATATATACGACATGCTTCGCTTCGCTCCTCAGTGATTATGACTTGGAGTATTCGTATTATAGGATTAATTATGGAGGAGCTAATCTAGTAATAGGGATTAATTATATTCATAAATTGCGAGCCTTAAACTATATCTCGCAGCAAAACAGCGCATAGGAAAATCGGAGAAACCCCAGATTTCGGCCGGGGCCGAAAACCACATTGCTGTCAAGGCAGTGGATGCACAACAGGGTGTGCACTGTGCAGGAGATTACGGAGATTATCAACCAGTTTTATGGGGATAATAAGACAGCATTTATTTTCACCGGAGGGATGATACGCTTCTGTCAGGAAAGTGGGCGTCGATCTCCGCCCATGTCTTTCCCTCTCCGTCTTTCAGTCGCACCAACAGTGCGTTTTCGCGGCTAGTCGGTCATAGGTGTCGAGGTCCTGTTCGCAGCTAAGTGCTCGACATAGAAAACTCCATGGCGACGTTCTTGGTTAGACTGTGCCTGTAAGAATCTAATGGTCAAGCTGAGCGGCATCCCGGATTCAAAGCTAGATTTGAGATCTACACCAAAACCTTGGAACTGTCCTTGCAGTTTCTCGCTCCCAAACTCTCTAGACCAAGATTAATGAATGAAAGTCTTTTTCAACCTTTTTGCTACTGTTACAGGACATAGAGGGATGGGCATAGTAGCTCTACACCATAAGTCAATTAAAACATCCCAACATTAGGGAGAGCTAGGATTTAAAAGGTTAATGCATATACCCAATGCCTACTCTAGAAGAATTGGCGAAATCATAAGAGGGAGTACAGATTCTTTGAAGCAGCACAGAATTTGCGTTGTGACTTAGCAGGTCTACTCAAATACAACCATATATCTCCGAGCTCAGTAGAGAGAAATCTCAAGAGATGATTGAGAGCTCGTGGGCGGAATTCGTGCTCTTTCTGCCTGCCGCCTTGATATATTCTACCAGTAATAAGAGACCTGAAACGCATGAATAACACAACTATGCAAAGATAGGATGGATTCCGTGAAATTTCAGGTACGCCTAGGGATCAAACAGTGGAACAAGGCAAGAAGCAGAGCGAATATGAAACTGGTCCGACCAATTTAGGTACGATCAAAACATCAAACAGCAATCGCCAACTGTTCACCCAGACCGAATGCTGGATGTGACTTGGGCGAAATCAAATCGTCGCTGGCTTCCGCACGACCAGATCCAAAGTTCTTCAAGTTCCACTTGTCCACACCTTCAACACCCTTGAGATTATCTCCAAACGCTTGGAACAGAGCTGAGTTGAGCTTTTCGTACTCTTTATATTCCTTGGGCCAATTGCCCAGCCGCTCGACCGCTAGTTTGAGCAAATGCAGGTGCTGCCGAACATACTTGCCCGAACCCTCGGGTCTCTCGCCAGGGCTAGGCGGCCCGGACTCAGAGCCGGACGAGCTGGCTCCTTCATCTATGGCTGGGGAAGCTAGGGCGGTGGGATCGATAAAGGCTCGGAGCGCGTTCTCATGCAGCGCCGCGGCTTTCTTGTAGTACCGGTATGCGAGTTCGCGGCGCTCCTTTTGGTCCTGGTACCCGTGTGCCACGCTAGTGTACATCTGGGACAGGAGGACGGTCATCTCGACGGTGCTCGGGTGCTGCGGGCCATGCACGCGGGCACAGTTGTAGACGATGTCCTCGGCTAGGCGGATGGCTGCCATGGACTCGCCCATCAGATAGCGGGTTATCACTAGCATGCGTCCCAGGGCGAGTGTGTATGCTGCCTCCTGCTGAGAGGGTGGATGCTGGTCGCGGCTGTTCCAGAGCCCTGTGAGGAGCCAGACAAGGTTGGCATAATCGCCTTGTGCGTCCAGGAGCTTGATAAGCTTATTCAGTGTTACCAAGTCCAGGTGCGTGAGGTCGATGTTGGCTTGTGCGCAATATCCGAGCGTGGCGCTCACGATGGTGAATGATGCGCTGAGCATTTGCTTTCTTGTTGCTGAGTCTGGATGCGGGTCTAGACCCTGCCCGGAGATGGCCAGACCCAGATTGATGAGGAGCTTCACCACGCTCAGCGAGGAGGAGAACCCATTGTGCGCCTGGAGGTACTTGAATGTGGTCACAGCTAGATCGCAGGCAGCCTGGTGGTCCCTTGTAGTGAGGAGCTGCGTCACACGGCGGTAGCTTGCGATAGCCACAGACCGCAGGAAGTTCTTAGTGGTGTACATGCTAAAGTACTCGAGAAGAGTGCCGACAAAGGCCTTGGCCTGACCGAAGTTCACCTGGACCTTTTCCTTCTGTGACGTGACGACGATGGAGTTGGCGAGATCATCTATGAGACGCGCAGCAGTCGACTCCTGGTTTCTGGCGCGAAGGAGTCCGTACAGACGAGCGGCAGTGTCCACTATGTTCTCGAGAGTACAGGACTTGGACCGTGCCTCTGACCGGTATCGCTCAAAGTAAACGTACTCGGCACATAGAGACCAATGAATCTCGCTTACAGTGAGCGAGGGCTCTTTCTGTTTCCGAAGACTGTGCTCAAAATGGGCGAGGAAGACCAGGCTCTGACGGCCACCGGAAGGCATGCCGAGATTAGTGGAACCGGTTTCCTTGACCACAATTTTACGGTAGAGCTCGTCGCAGAGCTCCTTTGCGCGTTGAATTTGACCCGCCGCGATGTAGCTGGACGCAATGGTCTGCGCAGCAGCAGCGAGTCTAGATGCCGAGGTTTCCTTCGAAACAATTTGCAAGGTTGCTTCCTGGAGCACGGACACGGCTTGTTGCACCTCCCCTCGTTTGATATACAGGGTGACCAGCTCTTTCATCTCAGACAGGGTGGTCTCGTGAGCCCATCCGTAGGTAGCCCGTATAGTGGTCAGCCGTTCCCTGCCGATGGTGATCACTCGCTGTATCTGCTCGGTAGAAACAGACTCGACACCGGCCGACGCGATGGAGGCGTACTGCTCTTCGTAATGGGCATCTAGGATTGCTTGGAGTTCGTCTTGGTCGATCTCAGTCTCAACAGATGGAGCCCTGAGGAGATGCTCGCATATCTGGACGACCTCGGCTTCGTATCGCTTGGACTCCCGACAGATATCCAGCAACCTGGTCATGGCCTGGATGGTAATTGATGCGGAGGCTCCAAATCTAGTCTCGCAGGTCTTGCAATACTGAACCGTCACTTCATGTATCACATGAAGCTCTGCGTGAGTCATACGTAGACACTGAGTGTACCGCTCATAGACCGACTTGACAAATGCCGGGTCTCGAAGCTTGGGGTTGATATTCGGGTGCCGGAGGGTATTCGACAAGATTTTCCAAGCCTCTCGTGCCTCAGAGTATTGACCCTGGTCCAAAAGCTCCGTGGCTACAGTGAGAAGAGACTCGAAAGCCTCCGGGTGACAGGTGTCGGCGTGTTTGTTCAGAATCTGGGCGATTCGACGATGGTAGCTGACTGAAGCTGAGCGCGGCCGTGCAAGGTCCGCTAAGATCCGAAGCTCTTTGAGAACCGCTGGATGATCCTCTCCAAACTTCTTGGTCAAGTCGTTTAGAATATCCTGATGCACGAGGATCAGCTTGTCAGTTTGATCTTTACGCTCACACAAATGCAGAAGGTCCCGTGTGACTCGCTCGCGCAGCTCATCTCCGATAGGCCGGCCTCGTCGGACGCTGTAATAAAGACCAAGGGAAATGTTCTCCCTTTTTGCTGCACGGCCTCTGAAGCGATAGCAGTCTCTCAGGCGCTCTGCCAGGTCGATGCAATGATCGACGTGTTCCAACGGAAGCACCACCTCTTGGACCGATGGGCTGAAAAGGGACGGCCAAACACGGCGCAGAACTGCCTTTAGAGATTTTGTAGCGTCCTTCCATCGATGCTGAGACCAGTACATTTCTGTGAGACTCTGAGCTGCTTTGATGGAAGAGGGGTGCGTGGCCGACCTGCTGGAGATCATTTCTAGAAAACTCGACTCTGTTGTTGTGGACTCGGACCGGCTCGCTGTCTCCTCTTTGATGGAGTGCACGTGGCTCTCAATCTCACGGTACAGGGAGCTATGAGTGTCTATTATTTGGGAAATAGGCTTATCAGCTTCGATGTCGTCGAGGGCAAAGGTTGTGCCTTCCTGAACGCTAGGCCTTCGGCCATGGAGATGAACGAGCAACGAGTCGTCAGACTGATGAGAAACAGTCGACTGTGAAGTAGTAGACTCCGTGAGCCATGTTTGCAGCGAAGCAGCAAGTTGCTGCGCTTTGTTTTCTTCCTTGATATACTTGAAATGCTCCACAAGTTGCGTCAATGTCGCAATGGCGATGCTACTATTCTGTCCATACTGCACCTTGTAGCATTCAGCAAGGAGCTGGAGCATCTCAGTCCGTCTTATCATGATCTCCGTCCGCGCCTTGGTGATTTGGTCGGCAGTGCTGTCGAGGAAGCCCTGGGCCATCTTCCTGGTGATGACGTGTTGGGCGGAGAGCGCCTTGTGGCATATAACCGCTGCATGGTAGAAGATATCGCTAGTTTCGGAAGGCACTACATCTCGTATCTTGCGGTAGAAGAGTGCTTGGCAGATGATCGCCTGCTGAGTTGCGGGATGGTCGACAGTGAGTATATGCTGGTAGAGGCGGACCTGGACGCTTTGCAGTGACTTCAGCACCGGAGTTGATTTTGCTTGCCAGACAGACATCTCCAGTAGCGGCACAATTGGCTTGGGGGAGAGAAATGGACCCAGTTCTTTTGCTACTGTCTGGATCTGCTGATCTGTCTCGCTCCCCAGTGC